AATCACCTATACGGCCAGCCGGTTCTCACTTTTGACAAGCGCCAAATTTTCAGTGAACATTAAAAGAGTTACGCTTCAACATAATAAAGAATTTGTGTTTATTTTATTAAATGGTTTTATAACGATGTGTAATCTTAAAAAGCGTTTGATACGAGCAGCATTTTGAGTATACTCCTGCAAGCGTTGTTTATGAACGACTGAAAACAAACGGCAAAGCGATTAAAATTGTAAGAGACTACTAACAATCAATAAAAGAAATGTAATTCGGTGAAACATTTACAGAGACAACAATTTTCATTCACGAAGACAAGTATTAAAGCGTCTCTAAAAATCCTGAGTCTGTAAGCTTAAGCTAGCTTAAAGCTTTTAGCCGGCTTCCTGGTGTTTACTGTTTTCAAAGATGAACTGGAGGCAAGAAAATCGCTCAAAGCTTTCTTTCTACAGCCAAAATTATAACTAAATACTCTTCGGAACGTTTTTTCGTTCCATATGCGGAGAGAAAATATCGACTAAAGGCTTTTTTTTTTGTTTTGGTGCGGATGTGATAAGTAAGCGCATGAAATTATAAAATATTCTGCCTTTAATTATGTAGTAGATATAACACGGTGAATTAACCCAAAAACTGCAATAGCGTGACTCCCATTTTTGTTTCATTTTTCTCCTACTGAGCCGGCTTTGTAAAAAATCTTCTCTAACTTTGCTTTTCAGATATTCGTTTTTAATATAAGGCCCATTTTTAAAAAAAATTTGCTAAGCTTAATTGTTCTCTTTAAGATTTATTTATCATTGGGGATTGGCAAGAGAAGTATAGTTAAAGTTAATGGCCAGTTTTTGAAAAAAAAAGTGGAGGTGGAGCCGGATGGAGTTTATTAATACTGAAAACATAAAAAAACAATCAAAACTAAAAAAGTGACGTTATTTTTTCCTGACTGTCGCAACTTATTTCACGGAGAAGCCGGATTCCTTAAACTTATTGAAGTGTTCCTAGTAAAATATTTATCAACCGGATAGCTAGTCAAGTACAGTTTATTTAGAAACCAGTTTCAAAGAAGTACTCTCAGTCGATTTTTTCGTCATTAACTGCCGAAAGCTTTTTGTAAGGTTTAATGTTCCCCCTTCTAAATGATGTCTGCTCTTTTGAGAAGGCAAATTCATCCGATATCAAAAATTTTTAACTTTTTGTTTCCGCTGTTTACGTTTCTTCTTTCCCTTCTCAAAATGTCTTCTTGTTTTATTTATGTTGTGGTTCCATTTTACTCTTAGTTCAAATGTTATTTTCCTTTATTTTAAACTCATTATAATACCTTACCATTCCAAAAAAACAATGGAAAATGTAATTTTAAACAAAGGCAAATTTTAACAACGAATCTATACGCCCACCTTATTTGACAGCGTGTATTGTTTTTACCTCGCTAATTCCTTATGAGTTCCTGTCTCGGCCCAACTTCCTTACTTGAAAGACAGTGCCAAGGGAGCAGAGATATCCGTACTATAGAGGTAGGGATCGCGTAAAGTTTGCTTTCTTGAGAGCCAGCTGAAAGAGTGGTGTCTCTAATTTGAAGGTGTCTTTCCGTAGGTAGAGGATTTTGCTAATGTTAGTGGAGCCATGGTTTTTTCGATACAATTGGGGTGATTTACGAGAAATTAGCGGTGCAGGTCTTGTGGCAGTTGCTGTCGTTCCCTGGAGGCAGGGAAATTCTGTTACAACTGTTTTTGTCCCAAGCTAAAGTGTAGCTTGTCCCTCTGGTGAAAACTTTGCTAACTGCCCTAGCGTTGCAGTTTGAAAATGTGCCAGGTCGCTAGAGGAACAAATTTTTCTAATTTTGTTCTCCTCGACCGCGCGCTAATTTTTTTCTTATATAGCATATAATTACGAATGATGATCAATTTTCTTGAATATACTTGTTGTTTATATATGTTGTTAGCTTTACGTTTAATTATGAATGATAATTTTCTTTAGATCATACTTGTTGTTTATATATTTTTAGCTTTTTTTTGTTTAATGTCAAACTGTACAATAACTGGTGAAAACTTTGCTAACTGCCCTAGCGTTGCAGTTTGAAAATGTGCCAGGTCGCTAGAGGAACAAATTTTTCTAATTTTGCTCTCCTCGACCGCCCGCTAATTTTTTTCTTATATAACATATAATTACGAATGATGATCAATTTTCTTGAATTATACTTGTTGTTTATATATGTTGTTAGCTTTACGTTTAATTATGAATGATAATTTTCTTTAGATCATACTTGTTGTTTATATATTTTTAGCTTTTTCTAGTTTAATGTCAAACTGTACAATAACAGGTTGCACCTGTGAAGTGCGACAAGAATAGCGTACAAATGAGTAAATTAATAGGAGTTTTCCTTGATTATGGATCCTTCAGTGAATTATTCTTTGATGGTTCAGGAAAGAGGAAAATATCCAGCCCAGCATTTCCATTTAAATTGTTTTTTCAACTTATAGGACCAAAACATGCGATCGCGCTATTGGTGGCCTGGACGGGTGTGTGTGTGTGGGTGTGGGGGGGGGGGGTTGGTTCTTGGGTTAATGTTTGCTGGGTATGTGCCGCTCTCCTGGTATGTGCCGCTCTCCTGTCAGAGCCCCTACCCTATTATAGTCTATTTTTTTCCAATTATAGACCCCAGCTTAGTCACTTTTTGGAAAATGTAATTTCCGCGATCCCAACTTAGTCACTTTCTATTTATGCATCTACCTTATTAATGTGGTTTCAAGAACGGAATGTAATGCGGTCAGTGCAAGCTTATTGTTAAATTTAATGAAAAACAACTTTCTGATATTCTTTTGACCGAGAATCTTCCCCCATTTTGAATCCCGACTTAACCCCAAAATCCGAAAATTTGCGACCTCATTCTGGTAAATCTATTGCTGGTTTTCAATGTCACCCCATTCAAAATAGATCAAAATAAAAATCAAAACCGTTCAATAGATAACGTCCAGAATCTTTGAAATGAAAGGAGGTACAGGTCAGAGGAATATTTCGTATACGAGATACCCGAAGAAATGTTTTACCCAAACTTGTAGAGATTTGTATGGAGACGCCATGCTGGTGCTCAGCTGGATGAGCTCCAACATGGCGGACGGAAACCAACAGAAACATCTGTTACCGAGTTTTGCTACAAAAGCGTGAATTTATTATTCGAGAAACTCATAAACATTAAAGTAATACTTTTTCTAATACGTGAACTGTTTAGATAGCAGAATTTTCTGAAATACGTCATTTTTTTAACCTACAGGACAGCTCTCTTGGACGTCATGTAAATGCGGCGTCACGTAAAAGCTTAGAAATTCAAGCGTACTATATCACAAAACCAAGAACCCTTTTGAAGCGAAAATTTGTGTGAAAATTAGTTTTCAGCTGCTCTAATGCATCGTGAAAGTAGAATCTCGGTAGGATCGATAGTTTTTTAGTTTGAATTTTAGTGAGGTCATGTGAAAACCAACAATTGAAAATGCGTCCCCATTGTAGTGACTCCAGTCGTGAAAATGCGACCCAGCGGCACATCCCCATAAGCCTCTTGTAAGGGAGTACCCCACCCCACCGAGATTGGTGGGTACTATCTCATTTAAGATATATGTAGGCGTATTTCTCAGGTGATCATAACCAAATGTACGTTATTGCAATCCAACACCTGACAAAATATTACAATTTTTTCCACTCGCAAACGCCAGTCAGCATTATGATCAGCAATTACAATTTTATCGTTGCTTCAGCGTTTATCTTCAGCTAAATTTCGTGTGGTTTTAACAGTTTGATATCAAACCGGATTAACCATCTAATACTTGGCACCTGCAAAAATGTTAATGATTGAACAAATAAACAGTCAAATATATAAAAAGTAGTAGAGGTAGTGAACTCGATATTTGTCCTTCATTTCCAAATACTTATCCTCTGTAGGGTTTTTAATTTTATATTCTTGAAATAAAAGCGTGTGTGTGTAAGATATAAAGGTGGGGTCAAGCAACAATGAGCGTTGTAGAGTATACTTAGATCGTGTAAATTATTTTCATTAATCGCTTTTCTTATTTTTCCCAGGGGAACATTTGTTAAAATTTATCATCCCAAATCGCCTGGTACAAATGATGTGTGTAAAACTGCTTGATGATCTTTATTATTATTATTATTATTATTATGGCAGTACAAACGTCTGGATGCCCAGAGTAAAAAATAAAAGCTTTGGCTGGGCGGCAAACCGTAACCAGCCGAAGCATCGACTAAAATTTGTTGTAACAATTACACAATAATTTGCGCAAAAAGAAAAACTGGGCAAAAATGATTTGATAAAAAAATAAAACAATAAAAAAATCGTATAAGCTTTATGGACGTCTTAATTATAAAATAAAAATGTTCATAAGTTTAAATCATCGCTCATATAGCTGTCCATTAAATAATGAGAACGTCTAAGGTATGTCAATGAAATTTGGATAATGTGCAAGATTAAGTATCTGTTAAAATAGGTGTCCAAAATTCCAATAGATATCTAACCGCTCAGCTTGAACATTCTAGCAATGTGTAATGAACTAGAGAGGATTACCTTTTGCATACAAGCTCTTTTATATTTTGCTCAACCTCTTTGGAACAGCCTCCAAGGACATCCATGATGATGTTATACTGATTGACCTTGTACTCAGGATATCGGTTCGTCAGCTCTAGTCTCAGCTGACTGTACTTCGTTGTCTTCTCGAAATCTAGAGACTCTCTATTTTCCAGCCATTTCATTTCCAGATCATTTCAATCACTCTGACTTGCTTGCTGGTCTTGTCAATGACTGTGGCGTCGATTCTATCAGTTTTTACTTGAGTTGTATCAGCGAATAATGGGACGCCCCAGAAGGCGGTCGCATGCTCATTGTCATACAGCGGCTTGGGTGTGACTTGTGAGCACCTCGGTTCAACTTAAGTAATGAGATCTAAAGATCTAAGGACTTCAAAGAATAAGATCTTGAAAGTATTGTTATGTCTCTGTAGGTACTTAGTCTGTGCTAGTGCACTACAGCCAGATAGAATGTGCTGCTCATTCTCCAGGGAATCCCCGCATGGGCGGCATCTTTAATCAGTTACTTGTGGTTTTGTTTTTCTGTTGTAGTAAACTTGGTAGGTAACAGCTGTTGGTAAAGCTCTTGTACTCCAGCGATGGTATGCGTTGGGCATTCTTCCATGAGGAAAGCCACGCAAAGCACTCCTCCAGTTTAACTTTCTCGTCGTCCCATCTGTTCTTGATAAACTTTCGTTGCCATCCCTTCTCAGATACCGTTGATTGTATCTCGTGCTGGCGGGCTTTGTAGATTGCCTGCTTTACCTTCTTAGCTTCGACTTTCTTACCATCGGCGACAGCAGTTGGGTTAGGCAAGTTTAACCACAGCTGTAGATCCAGCTCGTCTGCGTACTTCTTAGCATCTTTAGTGAAAGAGTGGCGTCCATTCTGTACGGCTAGCTCTTCAAACGATCTTACTGCTGTCATCGTAGGGTCGGCGTTGCAATAAAGCTTTACTGCTGCTTTGATCTTAGTGTTCTTGTATTCATTTTCCACGGACTTGAGACCTCTTCCACCGAACTTCCAAAACATGTAGAGTATCGCTGTCGATCCCTTGGGGTGATTCCCTCCATTCTCCACGATGATCTTTCTTCCCTCTCGGTCAAGCTGTTGGATGTTTGCTAACGGCCAAGTTTATTATTGATATTATTATTATTATTATTATTATTATTATGTCGCAGTATGAAACTGTGGAATACTGTCCACATTGTGAGTAGTATAGGGCGCATAGCGTAACCTACACCACTTGAGAAGCTATACTTAGAAGTAAAAAAAGGTCGATACGAAACCTAATACGATCCTAAAATACATAATGATGTGAATCTCTCTACGTAAAAAGCCAATTTAGAATATTATTAAATTCTGATACTCTGTAAAACATACGCTAAGACATGATGATATGATTATCTCTAATAGAGGCCTATTTAGAAAATTATTCAGTTCTTACACTCTCATTATCTCTTATACACCTAAATGAGGCCATCATAATGTGAATATCTCTACTAAAAGCTTATTTATAATGATATCAAACTCTAATGTTCTAAAAAATCTAAGTAAAAACATCAGCAAGCTTGTGTTTCTAGATTTATAGAGAAAAAACAAAAACCTAAAAACTGGAGCCCTTAGCGCCCTAACTAAGTATTTATCTTAAATGTTCTGGCAATGTTTAAAGTGTTTGAGATGACCGACTTCTGCATCCGCTCAAGTACGCTCCGTGCTCTCGCTCCAAGTAGCTTCCTCACCGACTTCTCTAGGTGTTTAGAGTAACCACCCAGTACGTCAATTATTACGTTGTACTGTTCAACCCTGTAACCATTGTATCTCTGCTTCAGCTCCCACATCATGGGCCCATACTTGAGTGTCTTTTCCTCATCTTTCTTAGCTCTACTCTCAATCCATGGGCAGCTCATTTCAGTTGTGCAGACTTCTTTCCTCTCGTGGCTGACAAGTCTCGCGTCGATCCGATTTGCTCTAACTTCGTTGTGGTCTGCGTAGATGGGAATATCCCGAAACGCCTCACTCGTGGTGCTCTGGTAGGCTGGTTTTGGCATCACCGGTGAGTACCGTGGTGCAACCTCTTCTATTAACCCATGCTCTCGCAGGAGCTCAAAAAACAGAATCTTCAAAGCTGCATTATGCCTGCATAGGTACTTGGTTTGTTCCAGGGAGGAACATCCAGCCAATACATGTGCAACGCTCTCAGCTACCTTCCCACATAACCTGCATAGGACTTCGCCGTCGGTGGAGGTTTGCGTCTTCTCCTTTGTGTAGAGCTTCGTAGGTAACAACTGCTCATACAGTTCATACATGCCCGCGATGGTATATGTAGGGCATGTTGCCCAACCTTTTAACCATGCAAAGTAGCTGGTTATGCTTGGGCTCTCATCTTCCCATCTGATACGGAATAACTTTCCTTGCCACTTTTTGTCTTTAGCGATCTCCAAGAACTGCTTCTCTTGAGATTGCTTCAACAGATTCCCAGCTCTTGCTGCAGTTACCACGTTTGCTTCTGTTGTAACACACACGGGATTTAGGGTATCAAGCTGACGTGTGATGTTGAGTTCTTCAGCGTACTTAGCTGCTTCCTTTAAGAGCGACTGGTGGCCTGATGCCATGGCGTGTTCTTTAAATTCTCTAACTGCTTCCACAGTTTGGTCCGAGTTCTGATACAATTTCAGTAGCGATTTGATTTTAGTGATCTTGTACTCGTGTTCGACTGATCGCAGGCCTCTACCCCCTTTCTCCCTCGATAGATATAACAAAGAAGTTAGGATAGCTGGGTGCTTGCCACCGTTCTCAACTATGATCTTCCGAGCTGCTCTGTCCACATCTCTTAACTCTGATAGAGGCCAATGCTGTGTCCACATTAAGTACCGCAGGACCGGAAGTGCATACTGATTAGTTGCCTGCACACGGTTACAATCAGACAGGGGGCTGGACCATATAATAGATATCCTGCGTAGATACTCTTTAGCCGCACACGCTAGGGCCAGCCGTTCATCCTGTCGAACGTTCTCTAGCACCCCCAGGAATTTGTAGTGTTTTCCTTCCCCAAGAGCCGTGATGGTAGTTGTCTCGTCCATCCTCATACCAGACTCGTCTAGCACTTGGGCTCTGCTCTTCACGTGTACCACTGAGCACTTTTTCTGATTCTAGTGGAGGCCGATGTCCTGCATCGCTCTTCTAGTCTCTTTCAGCACTCGGTTCAGCTTGCTCTCGGAGGCAGCAAAAACCTTCAGGTCGTCGATATACAGGAGATCGGTGACTTTGACTCCTATAGGCTTGGATAACCGGTATCCCTCTGTTGCCCGCAGGCGCCACGCTACAGGATTCAGGCACAGTGTAAACAGTCTGGGACACAAAGCGTCCCCCTGGGGTAGTCCCTTCATGAACCTTATTTTTCTAGAAGTCTCTCGCCCTTTCCTTGTTGTAGCTACTACTTTAGTGTTCCAGCTCGCACACAACTTGCGTATAACCTCACCCAGCCAGACGGAAGCCTGTGTACGTCAGTCATTGCGCATAACCACTCATGATCGACGGAGTCGTAGGCTTTGCCCACGTCAATCCATGCCATACTTAAATTCCGTTTGCCTCTGTGACAATCCAGCATTACTGCTCTATCGATTAGCAAGTTATCCATCGTACCGAAACACCCTGATTTCGCTTTTCTTTGCTGGCCTTCCATCAGCCCATAATGTTCAAGGTGTTGGCCCATGGGTGCCAGGAGGCAAGATGTAAACCACGTATACATGTTATTCAGACAAGTAATAGGTCTTTGATTTTCACTGAGGAACTCGCCTTCTTTCGGAATGAGGGAGGTTTTCCCTTCAGAAAACCACTCGGGATAATCTTCGTCGCTCTTAGAAACTTCTTTGAAGCTCTCGACCACACCCTTGTGCAGGGTGCTAGCACGTTTCCACCAAAAGTTAGTGATTTTATCAGGCCCTGGCGCACTCCAGTTGCGCTTCTTGGACAGGACTTTGACCACTTCCGCTACTTCGAGGGCCCATTCGTCGCCTGTCGGTGGCGGTACTTGCTCGTGGATCGCGAGCTTTACTTCCTGCAACCAGGCCGCGTTCTTATTCCCAGTCCCTCTCTCTTCCCACAGCTTTCTCCAAAACCCGCTCGCCTCTTCAACGTTTTCAAACATTCGCAGATCATCTCGAGCACGTTTCCCAGGATCTTTATATCTTGGCCGCTCATTCTCTGGGTCCCTCTTCAACATGTGTTAAACTGTTGGTTAATCACACGCGAGACCTCTTGTTTCTTTTTCCTGTCAAACCCACGTTTTAACTTTCGGAGCATTATTATTATTATTATTATTATTATTATTATTATTATTATTATTATTATTATTATTATTATCGTTATTACGGTATCTCAGATATTAAAATAATTTTGTGTGGAATGGTGTTATGACCCTTTAATCATTATTATAATGGTCTCACTTGTCCCCAGCAGGTTTTTCGTTACATGGGATTTCCCGTAATTGAAACTCGGGATTCGGGATTTTAAAGTAAAATCGGGGCGAGATTCTGTATGAAAAATGAGCACAGGAGGTTGGATGCCAAAAATAACGGGATCACACGAAACTGTGGGTCGGGATTACGGGATTAAAGAACCCTATTGGGGACCCTCTTGAAGTGCAGTCTGGACTAGAGTAGCAAGGTTTGTGTTCTAAACGATTTCCTAATTTTTTGACTGGTTGTTTCCGAGAGGAAAAACGGCTGAGGATGGGGACAAAGTTAAGATTAATCTTATTAGGCATTTTGAAGAGGCTTTGTCACAATGATACTGCTTTTTTTGGTCAATTCTGCGCTAAAGTCATTACGAAGTGCCTTTAGCCATACATAAAATGCTCTGATAGTCAGTTGCCTGTTGAAGCATTTAACAGGAAAAATTCAACTTAAGAACGTTACTCGACGTTTCGATGTTTCGAACATCATTATCAAGAATGAAGTGGACGTAAAATTTCAAAGTTTACAAAATGAAATTTTACGCATGAAATTTATCTGTGTTTTGCCTACAGCCCACGTTCGATATATTAAGATTCTAACATGTCTCCGAGGCTTTACGGTCCAAGTTACACTTTTTTCACGACTCCATTGTCTCGCAATTCCCAGAAGGGACTTGAGCACAAAGGAAACCACACCATGCTCCTGAAAGCCGTCAACTGAGTCCAGAAAATCGCTCAAGGCTTTTTCTGTATTGTTCATAATATCTTTAACTTTAAAAAGCACATCCACTTTTAAGCAAAGGGCAGATAGTTTTTCTCGCCAATTGATTCGAAACTTATGATTTCATTTTAGTACTTTCAACGTGATTAAAACCTCAATGTTGAATGTACACCTTGATGGGTTTACTCCTTAACCCGGTCATACGGATACTGGTCGGTTGAGGGCTTCCACAGTGACAAGAAGATTTGGTCTCCCTTGGTACGGCGGACGGATCGACGGACATAAGGTCACATGACTACCAAAATTCCTTGAATGCATTTAACCGAATTCTATCACCCATGGTGCTCAGCTGTCGGTGAGCTCTTTCGCATGAGCTCCGCTATTAAATTTGCCTTTAGCTTATGCTAAAGTTACTTTGATTTTAGCATATTAGCCTAGTAGACATCAAATCCATATTCGACATCTCTGCAAGAAGGTTTTTTTATATATTAAATACACAAGTGAGCAGTGCCTTGTTACTAGCCATCAAATAAATCGGGCAAAACTATTTTCTAGTTCTTTTCTTCTACTTTCTTTTTTTATGTTTTTTCTTACGATGTATGTTTAGTCAGATATTCTCCTAAGAAGGACAGACTTTGCCTGCCCAATAAAGACAGTCTCTTGTCTCCTGCAGAACGGCACCAATTCTTAAACATCCTGATATAGTTCTGAAGAGGGTTGTCCATATGTTACTAGTGCAAATATAATTGCCGGGTTTTTGTATTCAATACGAAAACCGTACTGTAACTGCACCACGATAATCAAAGTTATTTTAAAAGAATAACTTTTCCGGAATTTGTTTCGCCTGGAGTGGATTTATTTATTCCCTCACCGGCTTTTTCTTTGATAGCAGCGAAAATTAAATAAAATCAAACTGCTTAAACGAGCAGAAAACAAAATTGTTGTCAGGTTAGTCCTCAAGTTAATTAGTGATAGTCATCTCTTACTTCTTAGGCGAAAAATTCCAATTCCTTATCTAGTTTAAGACACTTTATTTGTGATTGGCATCCTGTGAATTACACGCACAGTAATGCTGTCGATACGCCGTCTGTTGCTTTGCGTTTCCACCCAAGTTTTAGTCATGCTTATTTCGCACACTTTTAAACATCAGTAGACGATGTTAGTCGTAATTTTTGTATCCTGTATCAAGTTGCGTCAAAATTGTCCACAAGCTTTACAATAACGGCTCTGTGTATCGTCGAGTAGTCTGCACTCGGAGTCTGAGGTTGAATCTGAAGTTTGACTTGATAAGTAAATTCGCCATGTTCCCCTGCTTTTTCTCATCCTTTAAGACTTCTGTTTAACAGCATCATGGTCCTACTCACGCTTCGTGTTTTTCGTAACTCGCCGCCTGTATCGTCTCGTCTAGGCCTAGTTTTCTTTTCGTCTTGGGTTGTAGTTGCTTGCCATTTCTGAAATCCGCAAATCAAATCAATAGCGAGGAGCAAATAAAGCAAACAGACAAGCGCCAGAGCAACATCCATCGAATTTAGCTCGATACTTCGATTATTCTACGCCACACTGAATCAATGTAGGTGAAACGCTCCTCTTTCCTCTGCGGTAAATTCTAAAAAGTATGGTTCAACCGATAAATCCGTAGATAAACGAACAGAATCATCGCCGATTCTCGCCAAACAAAGAGCAGCGTGAGCTTTTTACGTGTAAGATTCACCTGCGAAAATAATTAACTCCTTTTCAGTTCCGTAAACAGATTCAGGATTTAAATACTTGTAACTTATTCCAACGCACGCTCATTTCCTGTTCTTGTGACAACGGCATTTACTTATGAATGGGTTTAGGCGATTTTGTTTAAAATAAGTTAGGACAATTTCCTTTTTGAAAGATCCCAGTAAAGTGTCTAAGCATGGTAAATTGCGGCCTGTTGTCTTAGCCAGGAATTCATGCTTTTAGCGTCGTCAATTAAGGTTTAAAAGAAGTAAGATGATTAAAAATCTTCCATTGCGGAAATTGACAGCTAAGAATATCTCAATTATGAAATTGCGGAGTTGCTTTTAGTGAGGGTTTATTTGAGAGAGCCACTCTATATTCGCACTAAAAGTTTCCTATATTTTTTCCTGCATTAATATTCTGTGCATATCCGCTATCAATTTTCAACACCATAATCGCTAATTAAACGGGATTTGGGCTTTGATCTGCTGGCTTGCAGATATTGATTAACTGGCTTTCTGTATTGTTGTTTTTGTCATGTCGCGACGAAATTCATAACCTCAAGAATTAATTTAACTCTTGGTCTCAAGTAAGAATAAGATTATCTATAGAATGTCTCGCTTAGTATACTGTCTTATCATTCTTCATCGCTTGTGGCGCGACCACATTTATTTTTCATAAAGTGACGGTGAAGCTTTGAAACTAATCAGTTATCACTTACCACCTTTCGCATAGCTCTAAGCGCATACAACGGAGTAAATCTCGCAAAATAAACTCCAGTTTTTGCCAAGGACTGGATTCAGGGCACTCACGGCCGACCACGTTTTATAGTTGCCTTGTTTTATTTAAGTGGACGGTTACTGATCCAAAAACAAACAAAGAACAGAACATGTTAATTTAAGAAGGAAGACTGCCATTTATAAAATAAAAAGCTCAAGAGAGCCACAACCAGTATGTCTCTTTGGCAGAACGTTTTTTTGGCTCGTCATGCAATCGTCCCCAGCGATGAGGAGAATGAGTGAATTTTCGTTAAACGACTGAGCAGAAGCTTATCCTTGGCAAATATAATGTCAAAAATGCTAGGAAACCATTCCAGTACGAGCCTAGTTTTTTTACAGCCTCAAATGTTATTGAAGTTCTTTTAAAAGTTCAGTCTTGCCATTGACTTATTATTATACATGTATTATTGCTTTGAATCACAATGCACTGTAGGAAGACATTCCTCCTCTGCTGGGGAGCGCGGTAACCATGGTTACGTCAAGGGGAAAAAACAACCCGAAAATATTGCCCATTTTATCAGTAACAATGAATTTTTTTTTCACATAAATTTCAAAAGGCTGGGGAAAAGAATTGTCGTACTTGTTGAAAACGAGTCTCTTTGCTTTCGCCACTTGTATTGGTATCCTTCAGTCTCGAAAGACTCTCATGTCGCGCTCTGATTGCTGGTTCTCGAACAGCGCCTTGTGTGGTTGGAAAGAACAATTCAGGAATTATATTAATTTTGTCAGTTGCTGGTCTATCTTTCTGACAATGTGCTTGTCCCACGGATAAGTCATGTCAAAGGTTTACATGTCCGAGCTAGATTTCTACCTGTCCCGGACGATCGGACATCATCGATCGTTTTGGCGCACCCTGCTTCCTCGTTTGTCTCTTTTTCTCACCCTGTTGGGCAAGTGTCTCTTCAAACTCGCAGAGACCTTACTCTACTCCTTGCTTCCAGTCTGAACGTTCTGAAGCCAAGGTTTCCCATCCGTTGATGTCAATGCCCAAGGCCTTCAGATCCCTTTTGCAGACATCTTTATAGCGTAATTGGGGCCTGCCAGTGGGGTGCTTTCCTTGAGTCAATTCTCCGTGGAGGAGATCGTTTGGGATCTGGCTGTAATCCATTCTTACAACATGGCCAAGCCGGCGCAATCGTCTCTGTTTCAGTAGTGTATACATGCTGGGAATTTCAGGTCGCTGCAGGACTGTGTTGTTTCGAACTTTGTCTTGCCAGGTAATGCTGAGTATGCGTCGGAGACAGCGCATCTGGAAAGTAGTAAGCTTCCTCTCCGTTCGTGTTTGAAGAGTCCATGACTCGCTGTCGTGCAGCAACGTGCTTAAAACGCAGGTTCTGTAGACCTGAATATTGGTACTTTCCGTCACCTTTTTTTTGACCATACTATCTTGGTCTAGCTTGAAATGGTAGTAGTTGCTATGAGAGAGAGAGAGATCGTTTAGCCAAGGTGTACGAAGTCAGACAACCTTCCGTTCATGCCCCAAGATTGCAATATTGGGAGGTGAGTCCATATCCTGAGCCATGACCTGTGTTTTCTTAAGGCTGATGGTCAGTCCAAAGCCTTGGCAGGCCTTGCTGAAGCGGTTCATGAGCTTCTGAAGGTCTTCGGCTGAGTGGGCGGTAACGCTTGCACCGTTGGGAAAGAGGAGATCACGTAGACATTTCATTTGGACTTTGAGCTTTCTGTCTGACCTGGTCCGAAGGTAGATGCCCTCTGTTGCATTTCCAAATGTTTGCTCCAGCAGGAAAGCGAAGAAAATTCCAAATAAGGTTGGAGCGAGGACGAAGCCCTATTTCTCTCTACTTCGGATGTCAAAAGGGTCTGACATTGAGCCAGCAAAGACCACAGTGTCCTTCGTATCATCGGGAAGGCCTCTAATGATGCTGAGGAGCCTGGGTGGCCGTCTTTGCTTACCAGGTCAAAAGCCTTCGTGAGATTTATGAAGGCTACGAAGAGTTTTTGCCGTTGTTCCCTGCATTTCTCCAACAGCTGTTGGAGGGAGAACACAATATCAGTGGTTGACCTGTTGGATCGGAAACCACGTTTCTAGGTAGACTCCAAACTTGGACCCCTCTCTGTGCTACTCGGGCAAACAGCTTCGCTGTGATGCTTAGGGGGGAGACGCCACGGTAATCTTAGGTTTAATAATACTTTGTCATGCTAAAACAAGTAAATTAGTTAAATAAGAATACAAAGCGTTCATGATTGGATAATAATTGTGGGACATTGGTGATTGGTAATTGTTTCAGTCACTCCTATCGCCTTTGTTCTTGTACAGGCTGACGATGTTTGCATTCGTCATGTCCTGTTTCACTTCACCTTCTCTTCAGCACAGACAAAGGATTTCATGTAGCTCAGAGATGATGTTTTCTTTGCAGCACTTCAGGGCTTCGGTAGGAATGCTGTCATTTCCAGGTCCTTTGCCGGGCAAAGGCAAGTGCCGTGTTTAACTGTTTAAGGGTTTGAATTACTGTCAAGCTTCTCCAACACAGTAAGGCATTTGATGGCGTTCAGTGCTTCTTCTGTAAGTAACGCTGAGTAGCGTTGCACCCAGTGTTCCATCTGAGCCGCCTGTGGCGGACTTCAGAAGGGGAGTTTTCTTCTTTGTTAATGTTGCCTGCAACAGCTACTGACCGTATCTGAGAGCCGGGCTGAAGGCGGTAGTCTTTTGCACATCTCCTGGTGGTCTGCCAAACCTTTCTGCAAGCGGCTCGGAGGGCCCGCAGGTTGCGTTTGCTGTGACAGGCTTTGGAGGCTGCCAGGGCGTTCCTCTTTTCAACAATGACTGGTGTCATCTCGTCAGGTGGGATTCAAGCCATTCAGCGGTCTTGTTGGTCTTCCTGGCGAAGTGTTTCCATCTATCAAGGGGCCTGGAAAAGATTCCTCAAGCGCAGTTGCAAATTCCTCCACCTAACCCTGTTCACGGGTTTTGCTGGTGTCAATGAGAGGCCCTCCCTCCTCTTTTGTGCGATACAGTTTCTTTGTTTACACTTTTACTCTGCTGCAGACGAAGAAGTTGTCCGTATGGCAATAAGCACCCTGATAATGAACTTGGTTGTCAGAGGCTACAAGTACGCATGCCGTATGGGAGTACTTTATAGCTAATGGGAGCTTATCCCGGCAACCACCCCCGGCTATGACAACCCTTGAGCCCAAAGGAATAAGCCCAGTTATGTTAGTTTCAGAGTTTTTCGTATTCTTTAAATTGGATCCTTTTATAAGACTTTTTTCATTCTTTGGGTCAATTATACAATTATACCATCCGAGATTGTGAAGAGAATTCCATCGCATAGAGCCAATCTTGAATTGATAGTTGCCGCGATTTTTGGCTGTGAAACGACCCATTTCCGTTTCCGAAAAAAAAAACGGCGTCTTTTTAAGATTGTGAGCACAATTCTTTAGTTTCGAAGATTGTTAAGTTAAAGTTAAGAGTCACCTTCTGAGAAGAGATGCTTGCTTAAGATCGAAATTATAGCGTTATTTTATTCATTTCAGCAATGTAATACAGATGTATGCTGAATTTACCTGATTTTTCTGTGGCTGGCCTTTGACGTCCTTCGATCATATCCCCTTCAGACTCTTATCTGAGTCGTAGGGAAGTTATTCAAGCTGCAATAGTCGTCACATTTGTCAATACCTTTGTCACGTTACCCTTCCTGCAATGTTGATTCACGTTTTGCCCATTTTCAAAACTCTGACGCGAATCGCAGCTCTGAGGAAGGGGGTGCCCCATGTAAGGGTATCCAAGACTGTCTTGGATTCTGGATTCAACGCGGTGGATTTCGGATTCCTGTTACTGGATTACGGATTCTTTGTCAGTGGATTCCGGATTCCAATCATTAGTGGGATTCCGCATTCCAAAGCCCAGAATACCGGATTCCACAAGCAAAAATTTCCCGGAATACTGATTCCACCAGAATAATGTTTACGGTTTCCGGAATCCCTATCCCCCTACATGGGAGAAAGGAGCGAAGGAGTCAATTGGCACAGCGTGGTACAGAGAAAAGATAGATCAGGAGATTGAGAACGTGTGACATGAAAAAACCTCAGCTTTCTTCTGGTCTTTCAACAAAATTTGACGAATGGCTTAGGTGAGTTATTCGGTGTGCACCTGCCTGCGTTGTCTCCCCGGGTGATGCCTTTGAGTCCTGAGTTTATTTAGTGTAACAGGTCAAAATAAAGCTAAAAACACATCAACTTGACTAGAACATTCTAATTTGGGGTAATAAAGGAGAACGGTAGCCTTCTTTTGTTGGAGGTACATGTAAACAGACGTTGTAATCTGTTACATAGTTCTGGAAGCCATAATTTGCAATGTTTTACTTTATGGTTTTTGAACTGGCCATGATTGACGTGCTTATGGCATAATCAGTCAAAAAAGAATTCCCGATTATTTTGAGGAAGATCTCATGAGAATTTATTCGCGTTATTAAGTAATACATGTGATAAAATGTTAAAGTACAAAAAAGAATCGTTGACAAAGACAGGTATGGATTGTGAGTGAGACAGGTAAGACTCTAGACTCGACTTTGATGTCTATAGGGCGATTAATAAAGGAAAGCTTTTGATTACGTAGATGGATTTTGTACAAAATCAGCTTGGTTTAATTGAGAATCAGCATCGCTAAATAATTATTTATAACTTGACTTCAGTTTATGACTATAGCTTCAGTTGAAAAAAAAAGTAACTTTGTTGGAATGTTTATGAGAAAGGATAACACATGCTTAACTGTTGATGTAGAAGAACCAACCTTTCCAGTCATTGTTCCGCGAATTGTTTGAATGTGCATGAATTTTGAATTTATTTACGTCTTTTGCCAAAGAACAGTTATTAAAAAATCGGTAGGTGGCAATTCAAAATAGTAAACTTCTGTCTCAAAATTCAGTTTCGTGATTCCGCTACATGATCTATTTTACTTTTATTGGGAGCTGGCGACAAACTTTTGTGTGGTTTCTCTTTCTTTCTTTTCTTTTTGGCTAAATATTTCGGTTTCAATTTACTGTTTGGCCTGCATACTAACACTTTGTAACAACGAAGCGCTTCAGGTACCTCGTGGTACTTAAAATCTTTGGTTCATTGTTTTGGTTTGAGTGTAGACGCCAATAGTGTTTTGCCAACTTTGCATCGGTCATATTACTGTAAAGAAAATACTTCGAGTTTTCCGTAAGGTAAGTCATCATTCAGTCAGTTGCAGCTTGTCGAGGAAAACTTCTTGATCCGGCGTTTTGGCACTGAATGCTTTAGACTTTTTTTCATCCTGTTTGTAATCAAATAATCCGGCAGAATAAAATTACTTATACATCTGAATGGAACAGGTGTTATATTAGAAAGGAGGATATCACTCGATACATGTAGAAATTATTTGCTTTGACAAAATGCGTTACCCTTGAATAGTTTACTGACCAAAGGTAATTGCATTTATCAATGTCGGGAAACAACCAACAAAGGTGGATTTTTTTTCTGTATAAATTCTTTTTCATTCGGTATGTATTTTAACGTGATCATATAGGGTCTTTGATTGCTAATGTATTAGTTCATACATCATAAGAGTATTGTGCGGATCAATTGCCTTCTTATTTTTTTGCCTTTGGCATTTTTCGCTGCAATTGAATCTTACATTTTAGCATTTTTCACTTGCACAGACAAATGAAAGGTGTGTCTTTTGCCGTTAATTTACATAACATTAAATTAGTTCGGTTGCCGCTAGGAAATCTATCACGACTTGCGTTTAGGGCGGTTTATGGATTTTATCAAAGAAAATGTGGTTCCACTTGAAAGACCGCACAACGAATTACACTTTCAAAGATGGTACTTTAAGGCATGGTGGTAAACCGAGAATACTTTTTGTTCATTTCTTTCGTTTCCAGAATTTTTTAAAATTAAAACTTTCTTTTAGGGGGGTCTATTTTGTTCCATTTTTTGGTCATTGAATTTGGCTTTCACATACAAGGCTAACGTTTGTAACGAATGTTTAGTTTAATAATTTCATGGCTCTTTGAGGGATTCAATTGATTTTTACCATTGTTTTGCGTAATAAGAATCCTTTTTCAAAGACCTGCGACATACTCGTTGACGGGGCTGTTTTTCAAAACATGCGTCAATTTGTGCGATAGAAAAGGTGGCCTTAATTTGTACAATAAATAGGAGCTGATAGCTTCAAAATGGTGAAAAAAAAATTATTATTGAGATTTATTTCCTTTCTTCTGTGTTATTCTTGCGATATGGTCTGTTATTTCAAAGGTATTTATTGTAAACTTTTAGATCTGCGTTTGACTAATTTCAAATTGATTCTCAAGTTTTCATTAATTTAGTCTGCACATTTCTCATACTATGAATTTCAACTTTTTCTAGTCAGCGAGTATCCAGCTGCCTGCCTCTGGGACTCTTCAACGGAAGATAACCTCCGTCCTTGAATGTTTCTAGTGATTTGATCATTTTTAAAAAACCGCGGTTTGAATCACGCAGAACAAAATGCAAGACTGAATATCACCCAAAACACGTTTTGAAATATCAAGATGTATATCCGCGATAACCTGTTTTTTTGCCCTGAGCTGACTTGGCGAATCCATCCCCGGCAGTAAACGTAGCCATGTCGCAGCCTTCGAAAGCCTTTCAGATGCTCTAACCCACTAAGGTAGTGGAAGTCTCGTGACGAACTTTATGAATGACCAATGTTGGGTTATTATATTGTTGGTGTGAACCTCTTTCAATTAGAATTGTGGAAAGCAGCCTCCCGCCTCCTCCGGGTGTTTTCTTTTTGTTTGTTTTTGTTTACGAAGACAAAAAATGTCGCTCGATTTCAGATTTTAACTTGATAACACTTTCCCTCCCCTATAACCGATTACGATGGCAACGTTTGTTAGAGATCAATTTTCACAAGTGTTATGTGTTCCTGTTTTGAGATTGATCATTGGTCAGTTCCAAATAAAACATTTCTCAAGACATCAGGCATGATTAATAGTAAGCAATAGTGAATACTTCGCCCGGTCAGCTTTGGTCGGTCTTCTCTTTGGCCTTCTTCTATCGCGAGAGGGGAGGAAGAAAGTTACTTGACTACATACAAAGAGATAGCTATGTAAAAATTGAATCTCTCGCAGGTGGTTTGTTTCAAATATTTAAATCACATGCAAGGTTTAATTATATCATAACAAATCATATTTAGTAATCAAATGTCGCGAAAGACGTTTCTCCGATCCGGAAAGGCTCAAATCTTGATGTAAACGCGTGAAATTACTTGATGCAGGATTACTTTGTTTATAGACGCCTGTCTTCAGGGTAGGATTCGCAGGTTACCAGAGTAAAAAACTTACTTTCTATTGAGTTTCCCTGTATTAATGCCATACCTTTTCTTGTACGCAGACACCCTGAGAGGCGGGACTTTTTTAAAGTGAGATATGGGATTGTATAATACGGATTATTAACGCAACTGTTCAAAGGTAACAAATAGTTTTTTTCGGAATCTACCTTTAACCTGTTAGATTTACTGAGATCGCTTTGTACAAGACCCTGGATAATTTTATGTTGTAGCTCTCTAGAGATTTGATTGGTTTAGTGGCTATGATGTTGATAAAACCCATTCTCACGTTAGACCAGAAATTTCTTTATCTCCTATGAATAATTAGGGATGGCAAACAGAGGAAACTCTGAATATGATAGGTTGGATGCTGGACAACCCGAAAACGTTTTTTTCCAAAAACAGATATGATGCTATGACATATGAGCTGCTATATTACGCCATGTCCAAGATAAGGGCCAGTTCGTTCTTATAAAATGAAATCAGGAAAATTTATCAACCTTTATTGCTTGTTTTTTTTTATTCTACATGAGATGATTATCATCTTGCGTTCAGTACCTCGTGGACTAGCTGCAAAATCTTTGTAGTCGTAATGTTAACCTGCTATCAAATCCATGAATTATCTAACATAATGATTTGAATTTGTGAATTATTTCCAGTCAGTAAGAAATTCAATGGAGAATTCTACAAATCAATCTCAGCAAGCAGGTGGAATGGGTGTTTTGATAGAGCCAAGCTGGGCTTATGCAGGAGTGGGGATATATTCAGCGCTTGTTTTCCTCATCGTTATAGGTTTGTATATATATTCTTTTGATTGATCATTACACTTAACTGTAAATCAATTTGCGGTAAGCGCGAGGCGCTCAAAAGAAATCTTGAAATAACTCATTACATTTAGCACAAATAATTATGAAGCTTTGCTAGTAATAAATCTAATTTTAACACTAGAAAAATATTACGATAAATCTAGCTTATTAGAAAAATAACTATCTTTTGGGTGGTAGATGCTCCCCTGTCTTTCAATTAATAATAATAAAAAAGAAAATTTAAACTACTTTTGGTCCTTCATTCAACGGTACAAGGGTCATCTACCGACCACCAGAGTGCAGCGTAACAGAATGGATACTTGGCCCAAAATTACGTGATAAATAATCATCGCACTGTGGATTAAAAGTTTCTGTAACGTCGAATATTTCGTTTTCCTAGACATGTACTGGTGACTAAATTCATCACGTCATAATTGTTTTTTATTTTATTCATTTATTATTCAGTTTTATTCATTCTCAACCTTATGGAGCATTTATAACTCTCACGCATAACGTAAATGTACAACACAAGCTAAATGTTCGCGCATTTCAGTTCACTGAGCATGCACAATAAAACAACGTCAAGGCTTTGATGAGAGATTCTCTGTAAAGGATGGGCCATTAGAAAAGTTATGTGGACGTTGGGGAATTTTCAAACCGCATGATTTTTTTAACGCCAGTGCAGAAATATTGTTGAGGGTACTCGGTGTGCATGAATTTTTTTTTTCAAGAAGATTTTCCCATGTACGAATACTTATTTTTTTGTACCTTTCCCTTACCCTATGAATGTCAAAATTCAAAAACTGAAATGTCACCCTAATACAGCCGTTTAGAGTATTATCTTTTGTTTTATCAAAATTATTAACTTGTATACCTTGATGTTTATATGGGTTTAAGCGTTTAAATTAAAAATCCTCTGTTTGATTAGCATTATCGAGTTTTTAAGTGAATTTTGTGGAGAGACCCAGCAGTTTGATGGAAAATGGTCAGAAGCATTATGGCGAAGCAATTTAGTGGGGAAACAAAAGCATAATGAGTCACATGCATGTGTCGCAGACCGTACCAAGGGGAGAGGCGTCTACAAACTAAACTGATTGCTTGTACTTGCTTTTGCTCTGCGGTCATGGGCGTACTGGTGACGTCACAGATCAACATGTGATGATAGGGGCTGCATAACGTGTCATCGCGAACTGTCATACAATGTTAAAAATATCCATGTTTAAAAGTTCTATAAAAAATATGTGCATTATAAAATTAATCACTGTTTGCAAAATACTACTATCGGCTGTTTCGACAGCAAATGAATATAGATACCATGGTTTAATTAACGGCATTTACCAATCAGGTATAACATCGAACAAGCACTAAGTTAAACACGAATTATCGTTCGAATTATCGTTCCACTTTTCTCTCTTTTTGTCATCTTAGGCAATTTACTGGTCGTCATCGCTTTCCTCACGACTTCCAAGCTTAAAACAAAAACCAATTACTTCATCTTTTCCTTGGGTGTGGCTGATCTTCTGGTTGGGTTATTCTCCGTTCCTTTGTGGATATACTTCATTCTCAGCTTAGACTTCATAAACAGTCTGTATCAGTACTATCAGCTTGGTGACATTGTGTCCGGCGTGTCTTCTATTATGCACTTGACTTGTATCAGCGTGGAACGATGTTATGCCATAGTTGCACCTCTGAAGCACAGAAAGATAAGCAAGGGTAAGTTAGCGGACTTTTTTAAGACCGAATCCTGTTAAAATGTGTAATCAAGAAAAAGTATTCCGCAAAAGAAATTGTTCAGTCAAACATAATCGGTCACTTACCAAAGTCCCAGAAATCGCACCCCTCAATCACTGTAAAACTGACCTCTTTTAAGCGGTTACCTCCATTAACTGGTCGCGGTCACCTTTTACTCGGTCCTAACAAGACATAAACGGTCACTTTTTCAAGATTTACCATGCTATAGACACACCGTGTATGGCATTTAGTGGTCTTTTACTTCTTTTCTTTTGGCACAGGAGGATGTAGAGACACTTTGAGGTCCAATTTTCTCGGGTGCTGTATTTTTCATTTTGTCACCATCTTTATTTTCTTGAATTATAACTGTTAGGTTTGTCAATCTTGCATAATTTGGGAGAAGGAGATTTGTATTTTTAACACCAAAAAGTTCAGAAAAAAATTCCAAGCTCCAGGTGAGAATCGAACTCAGGAGCCTCCGAGTTCGTTTTCTGATGCTCTAAACACTGAGCTACTGGAGCAGGGTCGACGTTTTATTATAACTACACCAGTCATAGAGGACAGTAAGCCATTCCCTAATAGGTGAATATTTATTTACATTATTTGCCTCATTGGCATAAGCTTATCATTATCTGATGAAGCTAATAAAATGAAATTTCTGAATATTGAAAGAGCATATTAACAATTTCAGTTATCTCTGAAAATTTGAGCCCGATGCAGTGGCGGATCCAGGGGGGGGAGGGGTGAGGGGACCCGGGCTCCCCCTGATTTGTAGACCAAAATGAGGCCTGAAGGGCCGAAAAAATTTTTTGGAGACCGGGCCTCCCCCTTATCTCAGGGTCTGGATGACCGCACCCCCTCCCCTCCCCCCCCCCCTTTATCTGAAGGTCTGGATCCAACACTACGGTGTACGTAATTATAATAGTTTCGGAGAAATTCTTTTTGAAAACCCTCAAATTTACAAAGAATGTATGAGCTCGTTAACATTTTGCTAGCCTGGTCCAGGCTCCGAGGTAGTCGGGCCCGCGAAATTGAGAAAGGGCGAACACGAAAAAAAAACGGGAGGAAACAGGCTAACGTTTTGCCACCTAGTAATTTCGCGTTTTTTACAACGCGAAAAATTGCTGCTATTTACTTTGTTACCGATTGCAAGGAGCTGAAACTTGCACAAACTGCTTAAATTAACCAGCTCTTTTAATTTTTGCACCTAATTGGTATATACGGCTACATCTTCTATGGGTTAACTCGTATGCTAACGAGCAAAAATGTAAACAATGACGTCAAGATGAATCCGCCTATATTGGTTTGACTGTATTTCCTTGTTTCAGTGACCCTCTCCTAATTTTTTCTCTTCAACAGCAACGATATTTGCCGGTATTATGTTATCCTGGATGCTTGCCATTTTCAATGCGCTACTGAAAAGGTTTACTGACTGGAAAGATGTGTCCATCTTTAACACTTTCGCATTTTTTGTCGTTCCACTGATGCTTATAGTCGCTGCATATATTGGAATTTTCTTCACCGCTAAGAAGAGCATAAAAGAACACAGGAAACGTTCCTTGAAAAAGGTAAACATTTGTTTTGTTTTTATTTGGATTTTGAAGAAACTTCACGGTCCATACATTTAGTTTTAAAAAAGATTAATTCGTCATGGACTCCCTTGGTGAGCTTGCGAATTAGGGCTTCTGTTTTGGGTAACGGGGCAAGAACATCACGAAATAGGAGAAGCAGTTAATCCAAAACAGTAAGGCCTTTCATTCCTACCAGTGGCCAAAGTGGAAAAACAAAAAAAACTAAAAACTGATCGCCAAAATTAATTTTTTATTCTATACTTAAGGTCAACCAGAGGTAAAGACTCTGTTTCATGTCGGTAGCTCGAAATAATCATAGTCTGAATCAGAACAAACTGAAGCCAACGGTGAGTTCATTTTACCCTCTTTCTCCGTCAGTGCTTTGTTTTACGGATATTTAAAGCTACACGGAGAGGAAATATCGGCGAAACAAATAATGAGGTTACCCCTGGGATCGAACTCGCGGAGGCCTAATGCGCCAACTCTGCTCCCAAAGAGGTTTCTCATAAAGTGTTCGAACTTAGGAGTTGCTGTACAGACTCCAAAGTTAGATTGGCATCCCTCTCACAGAAATTAAAACCCGACCTGGGATTGAAAGGGTTTCCAAAAACCCAGAAACTAACTAAGCCAAAGTGTCTGATCAGTTCCCGAAGAATTTGGCTTCGATTGCCGCCAGGGACGTTGGTCGTTCTTGGCCTTGTGTTTGTGGCATGAGGAACGTTAAATCCTTCTCAAACTAAAGATATCTTATCTCACCTAAACTTCTCTCTTGCTACAGGAAATTTCATTTTCACTTCAGACCAATTCCCTTAGTGTCATGCCAAATTCCAAATACCAAAGCTTATGCAATTGGGAAAGGAGTGATCTTCGTACTGCTTCTCAGCATATGGAGCAACCTCCCAGAAACCACTTCTGGAGAGTTCGAGTCATGTCCATGCCAGAGTATCGGAGTATCTTTGTCAGTTACTCCGTTCTGAAGTTCTACACATATTTTATTCTAGTGTGGTGAACCATCTTATTGTCTTGTCAGAGTGCCAACATGTAGTTGGAGACCATACCTCTGATTTAACTATTGTTCACATAGACTTTAATTAAAAGAAATCCCTTTATTACTACCAACAGTATAACTTTGAAACACCTTCCCGTTTACTGTACGTCTGGGCTGTGCAATCGCTAGTAACTTAAAGACGACAAACTATAAATGCTTTTAAAGTGAAGTTGATTGAACTGTTCATCAGTACGATGTAGTCCCTCTTATTATAAGAGAGATCGACTTCATGCATCTTAAGTTTTATTGCAGTTACAAACAAAGCTGAGGTCTCTAATTCGTCCTATCTTGTTCTGTAGGACCTGCATGTCGCTTACACTGTTGCCTTGGTGACGGGTGCGTTTGCTGTTTGCTGGCTTCCTTTCTTCTTGACGATTTTAATCTTCAAATGGTGTGAAACTTGCTCATTTGTATGGGACATGCGCGTTCTTATGGCAGTAAAAGTACTTCACTATGGTAACTCCGCCCTCAATCCCATTATCTACTCGGTCAGAAATCGCCGTTTTAACCGTGCATTTAAAGGGATTCTCCTGCGTCTGGTTTGCCGAAAAATGAAGGCGGACTACTTTGGGATTAATAATTCGACTTCTCGAAAGACTCAACAAACCCGTGTTGATTCCACCATCATGAAGCAGCTTAATGTAAAGGGTAGCAAAACTACGCTTCGAAGTCTGTCACAGGATGAAAAATGTACATCAAAACTGATGTAAAGCCGTCTTGAAAACAACACCAAAATCAAATGTTTGCCTTCAGGAAAGCAGCTAGAATAAGGGCGGGAACATTTGGGTATTGATTTATGATTGTGACCCAAGATCACAGACGACCCGCGCAGTGGCTAAGACTTAGGCTCGATTTTGACTAGTCCCTAGGCCTCGTTAATCCGCGCGGCCAAAGGGACTAGGCAAGGCTCAATTTTCGTCGATCTCCCTGTCCAGTCACTGCTTCTCCCCGAGGAACGCAGGCTCATTTTCCCGAACAGGGACTGTTGAGCGCAGCGAAAACTCAACACTGGAAGCGGAAAAATAGTTTTACAAAGCGATCCACGAGCGAGAGGCATAAAATGCCAAACCCGCTCTTTTTGGCAGTATTTTCACTGCAGATAATGGAACGCCGTTGAATTTGCACTCAGCGGACATAAACATTCGCGCAAAACTTGCGAATTCTACTCGTCCTTCTTACCTTTTTTTTCTTTAGGAACTGACTTGCAGAAATCTTGATAAGTAGGTTGCTAAGATAATTCAAGGGTCATGATAGAATTATTAAGGTGAATTTTAAGCCGGGTGAATATATGAGAAAGATCTTCTTTCAATCAGTTGAAGGTGGCTCAGAAGTAAAATCCGAGTACTCCTTTTGTAACCTTCCTGTTACTGGTCCAGATGCTCTACCACTGACCTACAGGACACGCGTGGAGGCAAGGCCACTAAACTATAAGGTGCATTTGGCAAATATCCTGCATACTGCTGGGACTGGAATGTCGATACAGTGGAAGCTGTAAGAAGCGGACGCCCTCGGGACGCGTTAAAGGTGTACGTTGCTGGAACTGGCCGCTGACGCGAGAATGGTTGTTATAAGTGGCCTGTAGAGATGTAAGGGTTAAATAAGTAACTTGGTAACTTGGCCAACTACATGTAAACATTAGAAATGGGAAAAAAAACCTGTTTGTTAGTGTTTGGCTCAACTGTTGTTCTGACACTGTTGTAACTCACTCACAAGAGTAAGGTATTTCACAAGAGTATCACAAGGTATTTTTGAAATGAAACCGGACGTCGCTTTGAAAATGATATGAAATTGGTATATATTAAGGTCTTTTGACATACAAGATTCAGAGGCGAATGAGATTTCATCTCAGGTATACGCTTATTACGGAAGCTTAGAAACAAACTCAAAGCTAAAATCGAACTCGTAAACCCTGAAAGTATCCTGGCCGCCTACGGGAATTGTTAGCCTGCGAGCAGGCTCACTTGTGTGAATTCGGGGAAAATTTTGGCGGCTCCGTCGCCAAAATTTTCCCAGAATTCGTGCTCAAGTGAGCCTGCGCGCAGGATAGTAAATTGATCGTTTACCGGAATATAAAAGTCTGTATGAGAGTGGAAATGGCGTTTTGTGAAGGCGGCCGTAAGTAGATCTGTCTCCTTACGAGAATGTCCTTTAAGGGAGCCTCCACTGTATGTGCACATGCGCAATGATAGACACGTGATAGGGAATTTTAACTCCGGTGAATACATGAGAAAGACGTTTTTCTTTTGTTTTAATTTTCAGTCACTTTAAGGTTGTTACAACAAAATAGATTGCGTTCAACTCACCTGCTGAGCTCTTGATAAACACAAATTTTAACCGTAATAAACCTTTAAGAAGGAATCCATCAGGAAATTGAGTAATTTTCACTTTCAGTAGACAAAAATCTTGTACCAGAATAATTTAAAGCATATTGCATTCTGTTTAAGATTTTTCAAGGGCTGAAGATGTAATTAGTGATCTGTAATAACACTAAAGAAAATTTCATATGGGAGCCGGAGAAAATGAATGTCAAATTTCACAAAATTACATCTCGCACATCAATTTTTCAGAATTTTACCTGTTTTTTTACAATTATTTTGAAATTTGACATTCATTTTCTAGGATTCCCATGAGAGATTTTCTTTGGTGCTATTACAGATGACTAATTTCATCTTTAGCCCTTGAAAAATGTAAAAAACAATGCAACAGATATTCTTTAAATTATTCTGGTACAAGGTTTTTGTCCACTGAAAATTAAAATTACTCAATTTCCTGGTCGATTCTGTCTTAACTTCTTTGATGAAATTGAACCGTGCTTCCTCCCTCCTTTACATGAAAACACAACCATCCTTTAAAAGTATTTCTCCCATTGCCGAGTAATTAAATTGTTTGTCTTCTGACTGTAGGAAATAAAGAAACTAAAAACTTCAGTTATACTAAGCACTCTCTTCTAACGATACTTAAAACTGACACTTTGCTATAAACCAACCGAATAGTATACATTTTACTCGCTCTCTGTCTTCATTGGCTAAGAACTTACAGTTAGTTTTGATTTGAAAATCTGTGCAGCCTACATGTTATAGTTATCACCTAGCAAATATCTGGCCAACCTGTAGGTTGCGCGCGCAGTGGATGATTTACAAAGCAATGTCAAACAGAGTTCCGTGTAATCCTAATGGTTAGGCATGTGGATTATATTATCTGTGTGACCGAAGTTTCAGTTTACACTAACTTCCGAGATATATTTTCACGTTCTTTTCTTTCTTATGAAAAGAACAGTTACCTTTTATCATTATTAAAAAATTGAATTTTAATGTCCTTTTAAATTTATTTACCTATATTACATTGCCTTCGAACAGGTCTTACATCAATTTGTCGTAAAATTTCATTAAGCTCCGACGAATTAATCAAGGCCTTTCTTATTGAGTCGTGAGTCAAACATTGTAGTCGCTCGTCAGGTAATTGATCTATGAACAAAACTAGTTTGACAAGAATGACAGTGACTGACACAGAGTTCATTGATAACCGCCGTCCCGTATTTGGGCAGCTGGGTAGTTTTTGTATTTTATTAAACCAGTTCAAATTTGTTTTAAGGTACGTGCGGGTCACTTTCTTTCGGTTTTCGTTTAGCAACACCGAAATAAGCGCTGGTAATATTTATGGTCAACGTGTCAAACTGAAAAATACCGTACTCCCGACTGATAACATAAAAATCTGAACTGACACTGGATTCCAACACAATCACCAATCATCATGGGATAGTGTTTTGAGGTAGGTCTTTATTTAAATGTATATAGTAGATATTTACGATGATATACAACGACAGCTCACGGCTTCGAACCGTGAATATAATTCAAAGGAATTAAGAGTCCCAACGAAATATCAGGACTCACAAATGTACTTAGTCAAGTTGACGGTTTTTCTATTCATGATTTGCTCACAATTTCTCCTTTCTTCACCCAGAGTGTAGACTATGAGTAGTTCCCCATTTTTCCTCAGGGATAGTAGAGCGAGCGAAACGCGAGCGCGCGTGAAGATGGGGTGATTTTCACGGGCGCTCGCGTTTCGCTCGCTCTACTATCCTGACGAAAAATGGGGGACTACTAGTAGTCTACCCAGAGAGCGTCCCTTAGGAGCGAGTCATGGATTCCGTTAGCGCGAAAATGGACACCTCTTGTACAATATCGACAATAAAATCCAACTGTTTTTTGTTGAATCAAACTGAACTGTGTAACTAAATATACGGTACTCGAGTTGTTTATCCCAGCAATAAGAAATTATTGTGGATTAATCGCTGATCGGGAGACATAATATACCCGCTAACTAACTCGCATAAAGACAAAGGTCAGGATGATACAGAAAAAAGCTTTTAAGTCTAAATTTTTATACTGTCAGGGGCACCCAACGACAATTTTTGGAAAATATCTGTTTGGAAGTCGATTTGAGATCTAGAATTTTCGAAACATTTGTTGTTAAATTTTTTGCTTGAAGGTAAGTTTTGATCCCTATAATTTTCGGATCACTAGACTTTCAGCTAGGAAATCCGAACAGATTAAAAATTTTTAGGGGATAAAAATATGCCTTTATCTATAATACGTTCAACAATGCTATGTTTACAGTAAGTGGTTTTGAACTATATTCTCGTTGGGTGCCCCTGTTCTGTACGCTTGGAGCCCGAGGTAGGTGTTATTTAAAATACTAAATGATTATTTTCCATCGTTTTCATGACTCTTACAGTTATCATCGTCATCATCATTTCTCTTGTGATCTTTAACATTATCACTGTTCTTAGAAAGTTTTAACGTTTTTTTCAGTGATACTAAGGAAAGAAAATGTTTTTCTAAGATCAGATTTAATGAGGTGTTACAGGGCTTACTGCGATAATTATTATATATCTCGAATTTCTGTGGGAAGTAATCCTGATTTAAAGTCTTAAAAAAATTAATCTATCAGAAGGTAGTCAGAGCTTATAGGCTCTTCTCTTTAAATCAATCTCATTCACTGGTAAACGACGAAACAAAAGTTACATTTTACAACAAGGGAGTTCATTGTATTTCGCCTTCACGGTTCCCAAAGGTAGATGTTTGTCAAGTGTCTCGGCGGTAACCATGCAAGCGGTGTTCTTCAAAAGATTTACTGACAGTACGATAAGAAATTAAACAATATCTACGCAGTTCACATCCACACCTCTACGCTGCTGTTGGAAGGACGAACGCTTTCCATCGTCTTGTTTCTACGGAACGAACGGTGCGTTTGTGTCCAGATTTGTTACGCTGTTTTGAAATCTGTAAGTTTACCTTCCGCAACCTTAAAAACGAACAAGAACTCATTGTTGATACTGTATTGTTTTGCGTTTTGTTTCTTCAGTACACAAGGCTGTCAGCATCCTCGACAAATTAGCATATGATCGAATCGCGGTGTCTCTTCCACAAACAAGGACAGCATTCTTTTGCAACATTTACAGGGTTGTTTGGCAAACGCGCCACCCTTTTAGCTGATAATCTCTTACGACCCGCGGCTGACGAAAACCTACCATTAATCTCGCTGGTAGCTATGTACCATTCCTAGGAAAAGGACAGACCCCTATTGGTGAGTAGCAAGCTCTAATTTTATGTTTTGTAGTAAAATAGCCTAGCATGACTTTCTCTGCTCATGTCCGCAAACAATACGGGATGAATAAATTTTCACTGAGGAAATGGGATCATAATTAAGATCAACTGAGAAAATCTGTCTTTCAAGAAGCCAATGAGAATGCTTTTCTTTTGCACATTGAATGGGTACTAAGGATTAGTTTAAACAAAAACATCGGGGAATAAACTGTTCTTTTCCCAAGCTGTTGACTAGATCTTTTGAGAGTAGCTGTATGTATGCGTTTTATCCGGGTATCCAGAATTTACGACTGGTAAAATGTATTTAACTATCGACGACGAAGACTTGCATGGATCACAGTGTCTTCATGAGTAATGTTAATGAATTGTTTTAGATTATTATTAATCAATCGTTACGTGATGCACATAGATAAAGCTGGTCCTTTGTGGCCTTTGTAGCTGTTGCATATTATCGCAAAATTGTCAAAACTGATGGTCCGAAATAGTAACTCCTAAACGGTTTATGTACTGAACAAATGGATATCGATGAACAGTGATAAACCAACTGGCAATTTCATTAACACTTTAATAAACTTCGGTACATTTCTGAAAAGGACACTACAACTCGACACCTTGCACGCAAATCGATTTGTTTATTTTGTCGGTGAAATTGACCCTCTACGTTTTCTTCTGTCGCAATACTTACACATTACTTTAAAAAAAAATTTCCTTTCCTAGTAAAACCTAATTGTCTTTTCTTTTCTAGTAATCCAGTTACTTTTTTCTGCTAGTCCCCAATTAAAATCTTGTTGTAGACTGTTGTTGTAAATTTTTAGTAATTCCAGAAAAATGCATGCTACGCTAGATACGTATGCTAAGCTTATGTCATGTAATACTTTGTTTACTTAGGTATTTTCTCCTCAAGTTCATTTTTTTTCTCGAAACATCTTAAAAACAAGAATTCTAGAAATCATAAGTGAATTTTATTTATTTATCTGTTACCTCGGGGCTCCTACCCAAGGACTGAGTCTGTGAATAAACCCGCACAGTTTTGATTCTCTAAGAATTAATAAGCTCTACATTGTACATTTTACGTAATTAAAAGTAGATTATCTTTCGGTAAAATCAGGCGTTTCACGTGTTTAGCAAGTTTGGTTTAGACAACTTTAACCAAATGTCGGAAAAAAGTGGCGAATGTCCTTTTCTTAGAAGGACGACCAGGTTATCACATGTAAAAAGGCCCGAGAAAATGACAGGAACTTACGCCAAAAGGAGCGGCGAAGTCTTTTCGTTACACAGCCCCGTTATCTGTTATACTCGGGCCTAAACACACACACGCCAAATAGAAGCTTCCGCAATTGCGACAAGAATTACTCTTCTTGAACAAAAGTGTTGATTACATCTCCAGGATGTCAAAAAATTAACTCAAAAAGGTAGAAAACACATACGAATCTCGACGTTTAGCCTGGAGAACAGGCCGCGTGAGTAGGCTCGCTTGCTCTCGTTCCCTTGAAGAGCGTAAAAGACATAATGACACCTTCTCTACAAGCCGGTAACAATTGCCTTCTAAAACTTGAGGCTCTTTCATGCGAGAACTGTACAACTATTTTGAAGGAGAAAAACCCTTTATTTGAAGCAAGAAAAGGACGTCCAAATAGCGTGTTCAAATTCGTTGAAATAGTGCCATCATAAAATATATAGCGTGATTCAAGTTGTATTTACAAGCGTTTGTTTTTGCAACGCAAATAAGTGCGAACTGGATTTGTTTTGATGCAGATGAATAGTTTTCACTTGTTACAACTAACAGACAATTTGCCCAGCTCCTCCGCCTATTTTTTCCCGGTTTTCAATTTTCCTCATCTTTATCTCTTTTTAGTTTTAGTTTCGTTTTGTTTTTGTTGTTCTTTTTCTTCTTTTATCGTGTTGCTCTTTCCACTCGTGGCAGCATGTACTATATCTCGTCCTTTTTTACTGGTTTTACTTTTGGTAAAACGAGCGGAATCATTTGCTGAAAATCGATGAATGAAGTTATCCTTCTTGCCACGGTCTTCAAACCCGGAACAAAAACAGTCTGACTGTTAGTCAATGGGTTATCATTATATTACATGTTGATTATTAATTTGAATTGATTGTTCTCTCCTCAGAAAAACAATCCAGCAGGCTTAAGTGGACTGTAGAATGAATATGCTTCTTCCGGCATATTATGACTTTCTCCTTTGATTTTGCTGTGATTTCCATTACACCAAAATACAGGAATTTTAGGTCAGAAACTGAATGGAACGGTTTTTTTATAACATGACAAGTTTGGGGAAAGATGTATCTTAATTTAAAGGATGGACCAATCGTATCGGAGATTTGCCTTTTCTTACTTTCTCAGTTAAGGTCTTCTTGATTTCGGGGAATGGATCCTGGTGCGATCTAACCTAACGAGAAAGCGATATTCTTCGGAAATCTGTCCTCCTGATTCAGAAATTTTAATCCAACGGATCGCTGTGGAGATTGCTAGATGGTCAGTTGAAACCGTTAGTTGTTGTGTTTCTGCATATTTTAATCTTTTTTGTAGTCACAAATGACAATATCGAAGCTCTCCATTTCCTACAACAAGTAGTCGGTACATTTGTACTTTGCGCGAGATCTCGATAGCAGAAACCTCTATTGAATAATTAAACTGCGTTAGTTAACGATAGACTGGACCGAGTTCATTGTCGTTGATCCATTGAAGAGGATTTCGTACCATCGAGGAAACGGGAACTCGATCTTATTTAAAGCTTAGTATGATAACAAACGCAATTGAAAGTGATTTCCTTCAAGGGAATTTCTTTCCGGGCTTTTCCGATAACAGTACGTTGTTAATAAAAGTTGTAAAAGGTTTCGACCAAAGACCGCAAAAAATATTTCTCACATCTTTGATACGAAAGGCAAACAATTTAATAGGTAAATGCATTGAAACTGCTCAGTTTTCCGAGTTTGCAACATTTTTTTTGGTATATAAGGTCACTTTTAGAAAGGATCTCACAAGGTAGAATGACTAATGTTAATGTTTGTTTGTACTTATGCCCAAGAAATATCCCCCTCCCCCACCATCCCCCCGCCCCCCCACAGAATATGACAGGAACTTCGCAAAAATCAAAATGTTATGAACTTTCTCTCAATTCAAAATCGAATCCCAGACAAATGAAAGTAAACAAGTTGACAGCGTTAAGTTTTTTACTGAAGGACACACATAGTTTGCATCCAGATGTCTTGTAAAAAGGTTTAGAGAAAAGCAGAAGGTACTTTGACAGTGTTTTGCAACGGGATTGAAAAAAAACAACAACAACAGTACAGGCCGAAAGGACAGGTTGAGGGAAATGGTGGACCATAAAGCATCTTAAGTATAAACCATTCACTTCGTCTGAACGAAACGCCAAGAACTACGTTTCGGCGCCATCCACACAGATTCGTTTTCATCACTTATAATTAAATGATCGATGATCACGTTCATCGAAAACGCTCTTCAAGCGGAGGCATTTAAAAGCGAAGTTCTAAATATCAGTGTGAACAGCCGAAAAGGAGATCTTTGAATACAACTCACTCATATCAACTGAATTCCGATCCAGTCTCCCGGAAGGGTAAGAATCAATATGGCGGATGGGACGCTCGGCTGTTTGTTTATCGTTTTTTTTTATCGAATGCATATTCTCGTCTTGCCGAATATATCAGAGCTTTGAACAACTGCCGCATGAATCAGACTCGTAGACACTAAATCATCTTCAGCGAACAATAACATTGAAAATTTCCCCGGCGTCCCGCCATAGATGTTTATTTAATGTTGCTTTTATCTGGCAACACAAGGTTAATACAAGAGTTGAATTGTTCCGAGTCGAATGAACAAATACCAATTATTTATTCGTTTGATCAGAGTAATTAGTGTAATAGTTTCTGAGGCAGTTCAAATGCAAATAATTTTACAAACTTAACTTATCCTGCAATGTCACAGAATTTCGAGGCGCAGCGTCGTTGAATTGCAGATCAGTCAAGATAAGAAATGTCTTGTTAGGAAAGGTTGTTAAGAAAAAAATAACGTGGTCAAATTAAATGTAGTGTTTGCGTTTCTAATTGCTCCGCCAAGTAAATTGGCTAACGAGATTTGAACATCACCTGGCAACCTAATGGAGAGGAAATGAAAAAAAAGTATTCCAATTGACAAATATAAACATCAGTACAGAAAATTAAACCATCGTCCATATCGCAAAGATTATAATTTAGTTGTTGAGTGTATTAGGTATAGATTAGACTGTCAAGAGAGCGGAGTTCTCGATATCAAAGTGACGCATGGAGTGATCGAGGGCTCACAAAATCGCTTTCTAGATTTGGTTACGGCATCCGTGGATAGTTTAACTCACACTGTATTACTATATTGGATGTGTGCTAGTTCCCTGATCTTAACATCCAATACACAACAGCATAGAAGTTAAAATCAAAACATTGAAAAGGTACGTATTACCTAGTGAAGCTTGCTTACTGCTTTTTTTCGAGGGGAACTGAACAGTGTGCTACATATTACGCCATTTTATGTTTCTGAATTGGCTATTTCTAAGAGTATCGTGCATGGTCATCGATTACGATATATCTTAGTTCGCAATGCCATGCAGCGTATTCTCCGTTATTTTATTGTATTTTTTTCTTTCCTTCTTTTTCTTTTTCTTTTTTTATTGTAGAATAGCAAATACGTTTGACAGTTGCTGTACTGAAATCCTATAAGCAATTTGGAGCCTCTGAAATATTGAGAAATTAGCGTATTTACTCTTTGCAATTACCTTTTTTATTAAATGCCTACGCTCATGAATAGCGTTCTTGTTTTATGGTTACATATCTAAGAGTCAAGCCATTTTTATTATGAGAAACTTTATTTTTTAAGTAATATGAATTAAGATAAGGGGCATCTTCATTATCCTACCACGAGTGTGAGTTTTCTTTTAGAACGCTTAGATGCAAGGCATTTGTTTGCTCTAGTTCATTGTACAGCACGTGTTCTGCACCATTTTTTTTTTTCAATTTTTTCTTCTATTATTTTCTTGACAATACACCTCATGTCGATCAAGTGATGATTACTTTTAAGTTAGTATTTGTTGTGCCCCCCTTTTTTTAGATTTTTATACAGTTTTGTAAAAGGAGCACGGTAAATAATTCCCGTCACGATTTATCTTTATTTGTGTAATTTATATGCTGCCTTTCAAAATGTAAATATGATTGGCAAATGAACGTACGTGGTTTGAGGTTTATAAGTAAGGCGCGTGACAGTTTTGGAAAAAAGGAAAACGCGTGTTGGTATTTCGGCGAAAACTATTACAGTACACGTGATCTTCTGGAACGGCAAAACATGTGATTCTAAACTAAATTCACTTTTCATTTAGTAAGTTTTGTGATCATGAGATGTAGTCCGTATACTATATTTTCCGAATAAAACGGCTTTAAAAAGACATATATTAGGGTTACTTTTCTGAAAAGCCAGAAAACAAGAGTTTGTCTTTTAATACAACTCAGTCATCGTTTGATTTTAGTTTGTTTGTTTGTTTTTTCCAGCATTGCGTGTCGCTGTCGAACTCTTCTAAGAGATCAAACTTTTGCTGAATTCTTAGTGAAGCAGAGAAAACTATATAAAACGAAAAGCAATCTTCTTGAACAATTTTAAGCACGGTCCAATTAATCTTTTCTAATAAAGTCATAAAAGAGACACCGCTTTTCCTTTGCTATGCCCTTACTCACAAAGGTAGGATACGCCGTACTTTTTGAAAGTCGTATGGTGCCTGCAATATCATTATCATTCTTTTATTCTTATTTTTTTAACTTCTATAAAATTTTATCTCCAAACAGTCGAAACAGTTTTTCCCTTTTTAATAATTACTACTTTTTTATTCAAAATTGGAGATTCAATTAGCGGTAAACTGCAATTTTTTAAACCGCAAGATTACGCGGTCTGCCGATGCCCGAGGGAGAAAAAAATCAAAATTGATCCTTGCATAGTATTTACCCAAATAAAGCATGTAATTCTTCAGTTTAGTTGAGAGAATCTTATTCAGTTTGTTTTTCAGATCATTTAATTTGTTGGCATGTCTTTTTGTACTGTTAGCTACATGTGGATCTCATGTTTGGTGTTGAACACCAGAAGATGACTTTTAAAGCATAAAAATCTTTTAGCATAGCAATTATATACGCCGAAAAATCTTGTGATTTGGCGATTTTAATCACTGAAGTTTCTTAAAACAAATTAAAATAACTGGCAATAGAAAATAAGCGGATTTCGGTATCAGAAAGAAACTAATATACGTACGAGGCAGATCACGTAAAAAACCGACCCATTCATCGGGGAAACTATCAAAAACGATAATTCACTTATCACTTTTTGAACGGGATGAAGTGATCCTTGGATCTTCTTTTTTTGTGTTCAGTTTAATATTGTCTAATTTGTGACTTTGCAGGTCTTAAAGTTACGTTTTAGAGCAAAGAAAAGATAGCTAGCAATTAAGCTGTCCTCTCAGCGTTTGGGTAAAGCTCTTGATGAGCTCTCATATACGGCTAAACAAGAGCTAGATACCGATGATTGTTTTGAAAGATTTTTTTTTTTTTTGCAAACGCAAAGTTGTCGATCACCAAATGTAGTTGAATCGTCAATTTTGAGCGTTAAAATTGCCTAGCCCACAAAACATTGAAATCGTTTAGCTTTAAAAGGATCTTTCAATCATGGTGACGAAAAAAAGGTGTCATCATATCAAATGAACTTCGTTCTTTGTTCGATTCGGTAGGAAAGCCTCGCTTCTAATGGATATATAAGGCAGAACGTCGAATTTGAATCCGGGTAAAAATCAAGGCTTACCTCATGGTTCGTGACGTCACCAGAATCTTGTTGAATTTAGTATTTAGTGAACAAAAACACCGCCAAGCTTACAATTCAGTTATCAGCTAACATGTGCTCAGATCATTCGGATGGCTTATCATGTCATTGCACTCAATGCGTTTAACCAATTGAAAACGTGAACAGAATGTATCATAATTTTAAAGTTAAGGCTTCAAACTTGCTAAAAGCCACTGAACCTGGTGCTCTTTACATTGAGGGAAAAACGTCGAAGGTTATAACCGTTTGCTTTAAACCAGAAGTGAGAATTTAAAAGTGATCTCCTAATTGTTACAAATTACTAACGGCATTACATTGGACAGAAATAAGCAAATTCAGCTTACGCCTGCTAATACTTAATGGATTGAACTTTTAGGGCTACTCCTTGGAAACCGATTACCATAGAGCCAAGTCAGTAAATTAATACTTTATATTCAGTTTATATTTATGTGAAGTGTTCTGATTTGAAACCATCTTTGATATGCCTCATCCATTTTAAGCACTAAATGTATTTCTTGTTTATTGTTTAGGCTACCTGAAGACCGCAATGTTAAACAACACCACATTTACGAACGCGACAAACAGCACAAATGGCACTGGAGCTGGAGCTGGACCCCGACCTCCTCCTTCCCGCCAAGTTGATGTCGTTGCTATGGTCTTCTTTTGCATCCTTGCCTTGATGATTGTGTTTGGAAACTCGCTAGTTATCGGTGCATTCCGCGTTAACAGACGACTTCGCACAACAACCAATCTGCTATTGATGTCCTTAGCTATCGCTGATTTGCTGATCGGAACGGTCTCTGTGCCGCTATGGGTTTTTATATCTGTAACATATACCGTTAGAGGTCCATTGTATAATTTTTACTTGATTTTTGATGTCATCTGCGGCGTGTCTTCGATCCTAAATCTCACTGCCATCAGCCTAGAGAGGTGTTATGCTCTACTTCACCCGATAAAGCATCGAAACATCAGAAAACGTAAGTCACAATATTCCTTACTTGTACTTCAAGGAGGCCGAGCGTTTAGAGCGCTGGACTTGAAATTCGATGGCCCCGAGTTCAAGTCCCGCCCTGACCACTAGCTGGATTTCATCTCTGTAGTCCCGAGTTCAATCCTTGGCACGCTTGTGAAATAGCCAACTGGTTCGCCTCCTACCAGTTAGGATTTTTAACCATTTTATGTTCAATTGAAATTATTTGTTTCATTATCCCTGAAAAGCCCCACAAGGGGAGAGGATAATTAAATCTTTTAATAATGGAAGATTATAAAAAAAAAGTTGCCAGCTCTACTAAACTAATACGGGTACTATCTGTCATACTAAAAAACAAACAGAAACAGAAACTAAAACAATACTGTTCACTTTACCGAATTTTTATGGCCGAACGATTTTTGGGACACGCGATGATGCCCACAATTATTCAAACTTTCTACACTTGACGGAATTTAACGAAATTCGAGAAAGAACAAGAAGAAACAGTGGAATGTGTAAAAGGGATGTAAACAATCTGTAACAGAAACACGGTCCATTTTGATATTCAGGGCCACCGAGCAATTGCTAATGTTTTTCCGAATTGGTTAACGGAAATCCAACATGGTATACTTAAAGACGTTTATTATTTTCCAATTCCGGCAATAATTTACCACCGCCTGGTTAGCTCAGTTGGGAGAGTGCGGGTCTGCTGGGTGGAAGGTCCAGGGTTCAAAGCGCAGTCGGACCAACACTCAGGGTCTTCAGAAGTAACTGAGGAGAAAGTGCTGCCTTTGTAAGGACATCTGCAACTGTTTAGACTTTTTAGTCTTCTCGGATAAAGATGAAAAACTGTAGGTCTCGTCTCATAGCCCTTTTCTTGTCTGATTATTGTAGGACAAAAAAAGATCCCACACCACTGTTCAAAAACAGTAGAAGAGGTAGACCCTGGTGGTATGGCCAACCTTTCCTGGGCTGGGTGGGTTATCCGTATGATCCACCTCCAGGTGTCGTAATGGCTACATACCTCTCATGTAAACAGTATATGTATGATAGATGAATTATCATTTCGTTGTTGGCAAATTGCTCTTCAGTTGAAACTCCTTAAGGTGGCTCCGTGATAAACACAAGAGCAGTTAGCTGTGACAAATTTTCCGTCATAACTTTTTCGATTTTAACGCGATGGCTGCGAAACTTTGCAATTAACAACAGATATCATTCGGCAATAATACGAAATATTCCGATTTCATTGATGGTAAATATTTCTTGAGAAATTAGCGCTTAAAAGGACTCTACTGTTCAAAGAAAATCGCGTCTAGTAAAAAGTTTTGCTGGTATTTTTTACTGAAATTTCTGGTATCGGCTTTAATTGATATAATAAATATGCCAGAGGAATTTCAGAAAAATCGTTGGAGCAGAAGTCCGTAACTAAAAGTCGGTCAAAATTCAGCTGTGAAATTGTTTTGGAATTTCAAAAATAAATTACTATCAGGAAGAAGGAGACACCAGTTTCAAATTTCGGGACAAGCAACTTCAGTGTGTTTCCTAATTCTGAAAACAGAAGCCGATTGCCTATCGTGCTATTCTTTAAAAGGTACTTTTCAGTTTTTAGATGCACTATTAATTGCTCCAAACTTTGCTCTGACATCGAATGACTTGGTCCTCGACATTTTTATAATATCCCTTGGCAGTTTTGGTTCAAACTCCTGCTACATAGCATTTTGATGTATTGCAAAGCATCCCTAACGGCTTTTCCTGCTTTACGTTGTTTCCAATTCAGGAAAAAGGTATTGGGATTGTAAGCTACCTAGTATCGAAGCTCAGATAGAACTGTCCAGTACCTTTGTTTATGACCAGAAAATGAGCACGAGCGGCAGCTCTGCGAGGAATTCGCACTTCAGCCAGGGGGGACGAGTGACAATGATGCCCATGTCTGTGAACCGATCTGTATAAACATGTATTGCAGAGCAAAACATAATAATCAAGAAAAAAATACCCATTCATTGAAGGAAGGAGTGACAAAAATTTCAGAGTTGTAAATTCATTCACGGGCAGTATTTTTGCGATAATTTTATTTTGCACTGTGATGTTATTTGGTTCACAAGCATGGTCATCATTGTCGGTCGTCCCCTCTGGGTGAGGTGCGAATTCCACGCAGAACTGCCGCTCGTGCTCATTTTTTAGTCATAAACAAAGGTGCTGGACAGTTCTTTCTGAGCTCTGATACAAGGTAGCGTCCAATCTCAATACTTTTTTCCTGAGTTGGAAGCAACGAACGGCAGTAAAAGTCGTTGAAAATGCATGGCAATACATCAAAATGTATGCAGCAGGAGTTTGAGCCAAAACTGCCAGGGGATATTTTAAAACTGTCGACGAACAAGTCATTCTACTTCAGAGCAAGGTTTGGAGCAATTTATAGTTCTTCTAAAACTAAAAAGTACCTTTCAAAGAATAGCACGATAGCAGTCTGCTTTTGTTTTAAGAATTAGCAAGCGTTGAATTTACTTGTCCCGAAAATTCAAACTGGTGGCTCCTTCTACCTGATAGTAATTTATTTTTGAAATTCCAAAACAATTTCACAGCTGAATTTTGACCGACTTTTAGTTACGGACTTCTGCTCCAACGATTTTTCTGAAATTCCTCTGGCATATTTATTATATCAATTAAAGCCGATACCAGAAATTTCAGTAAAAAATATCAGCAAAATTTTTTACTAGACGCGATTTTCTTTGAACAGTAGGGTCCTTTTAAGCACTAATTTCTCAAGAAATATTTACCATCAGTGAAATCGGAATACTTTGTGTTATTACCGAATGATATCTGTTGTTCTTTGCCAAGTTTCGCAGCCATCGCGTTAAAAAACAAAAAGTTATGACGGAAAATTTGTCACAGTTAAATGCTCTTGTATTAATTACGGAGCCACCTTAAATTTGCGAAAAAAAAATTCTTTCTTAGCACTGGAATTTATTCAATAGAGTTTTCTCCCCTCTGAGATTTATGCGAAAACCGTTCCGGTAAGCCTCATCCCTTTTTTTTGTAGTAGGCAAACTTTTTTTTTTCTCAAGGCGTTGACCAAAACTCTGAAAAACACTATTTACCAGACAAAGCAGTTTGACAAGTTTTCATTTCTGACCAATGAAATATAGCGTGCGCATATGACTTCCCTTGAGTTTGTCACGCGTTCCTGTTGTAAGTAAACACACCCATTAAGGCCATGTTCACACTAAACCGGATGGCTTTTCAGCTGACAACCATACCGGTTGGGGCTTTTGTTCACACATGATACCGTGAGTTCGCCTCCGGTCTTGGAAGTGTGGAAAAGTGGATCCGGCGTTGCATCTAAAAGACGTTTCGGCGGCTCTTCGTCGAAGCGAGGAGTGGAACCTACTGAGATTGAAGTAAATATTTAGAGTGAGGATTAGAATTTGGTCAGATCCTCTCGGTCAACCGCAGCACCGCAACGGCGATGTTCGATGTGTGTAAACCGGGTTTGTTGCAGTTCTGTGCCGTTACCGTTCATAATTTTCCCGGATAACATTTCATGCCGACACTAAAGGTTATCCAGTATTTTGCAGACATATCCTTAGGCTCGATTACCGCCACTTTCCTGAGTCCGGTCTTCTATTGAACGTTTTAGTGTGTGGTATCGCACCCTTCTGACTCAGTAACAAAATGCAACATGACACGTATAAAATCTCTCGATATTGCATACTAAACCGTCCATTAAGTTATAAGTCATATTTGACCATTTGTCTATTTGTTGTTTACAGGGTCTGTGGTAGCCATAATCGTCGTTGTATGGATTCTTTCCTCATTGGCTGGATCAATGGTAGAATTTCTACCCTTGGAACAAAAGAAATTCTATGGCATAATTGTAACTGTCGCATTCTTCTTCACACCACTCATCGTTATTTTGGTAGCTTATGGTACGATCTTTCACATAGCTAGAGCGCATGCACGAGGCAGAGGCGTCAGTTCTTTCAAAAAGGTACTCTGCTATGCTATTGTTATTGCCATTGCTATTGATAGTCACAGGAATTCTACCACTGGACCGTACTGTCTGTATGATCATTATCATGTGTGCTTTTTCTCGATGATACCCAGTGCTAAATACCAGTGATCATAGTCCATGTTTTGGTAATATGTTACAATCTCATGAAAACTATAGCTAACGTTCTCAAAAAACACATATATTGTCAAACCTGTATTATACGGTCACTCTTTGGGAATGGCTTACTGGTCGCTTGATATAGGTTGACGGTTTAATACAACTTTGACAAACCTAAGAGTTGTTCAAGCAAATAAAGATGGTCAAAGAGCGAACCCGCGACAAAACCACCTCAAAGTGCCTAGGCCTTTTTCTTGTGCCATAAAAGGAGGTAAGAGACCAATAAACGCCATACAAACTGTATCTAATGCATTAGTATCGTACATATTGTCAAAGTGACCGTCTAATAGTAACGTAAGTCGTTTGTACGGCGCTGGTAACTGTTGGCTACGATTCAGTGGCGTTTGTTCTAAGTTAGTAAACCAGCTTTCTAAAGTAAGACGTTGATAGTAGTCTGTAGAATACGTTATACATGTCGCAGAGTCCCAGTCAATTTGATGTTTCGTTTTTAAATGGTGCTCAGCAATGCGATTGTTGACGTCACCATTCCTCGTCGTACGTTTGTGTGCGGTCAGTCGCGTGCTTAGGTTTCTGCCGGTTTCAGCAATGTAAGAAGCCTGGCAGTCGCAGCATTTGATCTTGTACACTGCTCCCTGTCTGTCCTCCGGTTTGTCTTTGTCCTTGACATTAGTAAGCAGTCGCCGTAAATTGGTTATCGGTTTGTGTTGCAACACGTATATTGTAAGGTTGTAATATACATGCAATAGTTTCAGAGGTGCCTCTGACGTACGGTATAGTCGCTGTCGTAACAGGGCCAGAGTTGGTCTGAGTGTTGGAATCAGTATTACTGTGAGTGTTCCGTCTAACAAAGTCCGTGTTGTAATTGTAATTGAAATGACTCCTGGGTTCAAACCTTTCACACTAATATACAATGTTGCCCTTTCACTCAGGGTCACTCTTGCGTGTTTCGCTTTTTGGTAGTTTTTATTTTACGGTTTGTAAAAGCAGGTACACCTACTCCCTTATCATTCCCCAATATTCGGTTGGATCCAGCGCCGTAAAAAGAGTTAAACTCGACGTTTTTTTGGTCAATTTTTTTGTTGAACAATTCGGGAATCCTTCCAATACTTCCAAGTAGCGAAAGTCTCCGATTAGATCTTTCTTTTCTAGAAAGTTTTAATCGAGGTTCTTTATAGCAGGAAACCAACTGTTCTTAGCTTGAGAATATTAAGTTTCTGGAGTAATCTGGCCCTTAATATCGTTTCAACTGCACGCAATGACCTTTGCTTTACCTTCTATTTTGGAAGCCAAAAACAAAAAGTCCGGGAAAATCCGGTAGTGCCAGGCTGCCGCGCGGCATGAAATTAGGCAATTACTTACAGCTCACTTGCTCCCAAATATAGTACACTTCATGCAGTTCCTATCGGTATAATAATGGACACTTTATTTTGCGGGCTCCTGACTTTGTCCCTTTGGTGTTCGCACCGTAAAGAAGTTTCCATGCATCCCCCGTGGGAGATATAAAGTAACTTAGCATGAAAAATATACCACACAAATACAAGATTTTTAAACTGTACAGGGACAACGGATCCAAACTCTTCAAAATACTCTAACTGCCCTCGCATCGTGTTCATCAGTCGTAGGATCTTATCGGCAACGTTATCTTTCATTACGTAACTATTCAATGGCGCTGAATGTTGTTGTTGATTTTAAGCACGTGCACTATCTTTCTTTAATGTAGGACCAACACTGGCAAAGCTCTACAAGCATTAGCAACAAAAAGTTGTTAATCAGTGTCATGGAGTGACGTACACGCTCATATAAATTACTAACGGCGGCTAACCAAAAGTGGTTTCCGCGACACAAAGAAACGCACAATGAACGATGCAATAGGATGGTCACTTGACGGAAGACCACAAAAAAAACTATATAGAAGTACGACTGATGAAGACTAAGGCAAAGTGCATTTTGTCGTTGGCCAGATAGTTTTCACTGACGCTTTTCTTTTCATGTTGATGTTGTTTTTTTTTTTCTGATTTGTTTTCTTTTTCTGCTTTTAAAATTATGTTAATATTTTCTGTTTTTCTTTTGATTGATCTAGAATTCTACATAGATGAGTAGATTATTTGTCGTTTACTCCATTGAAATAGAAGTTCTTTTCACACCGTGTTTGGTATGCTTTATGATTTTATTAAAGCCACAATTTAACGATGTTGCTTTTGTTTCAGGATTTGCGTATTGCTACAACAGTAGCCGTAGTCATTGGCCTTTTTGTCATTTGCTGGACTCCATTTTTTGGCCTCAACTTCGGGTTCGCGGTTTGTATGGCCACATTGTCCAAGGGAGCCGGTTGTTCAGGCCTTATGACTTTGCCTTTCGACTTTCCGTGGATTCTTTCGGTAAACAAGTGGCTTCAGTACGGAAATTCGGTTTGTAATCCCGTTATTTATGGCTTCCGCAACAAAGATTTTCGGCGAGCGTTTCGAAAAATTTTACTCGGATTGTGTTGTAAAAAGGTGCGGCTGTCAGACTACAGCAAGAGCGCGTACGGACGCACGGTACGAAGCGCTTACTTACGGCGAGAATCAAGCTTTGAAAACTCACGATCAGTCATCTTCCCTCCCAACGTACCGCTTGGAATGTTTGACATGCGGGACAGCTACCGTAAGGCGATACAAAGCGGACGCAGCAAGCCGATTAAGCTTAAATTTACACCAAAGAAAAGTGTGGCAGATGGTCTGCTATCAATGAACGTTGACGCCTTTCGCACTTCAAATGAATTTACTTCAAGTACGAGTGTCTGGAATTCGTCTTCCGAGGCTTCCGTCTCTCCAGCGGAGCTTTGTAACCCTGCCTTCGAGGAGGACGATCAAACCGATATCTGCCCTATTGATCAAGCGATACCAGGGAGAGATTCTAACGACAACATCTCCTCGCAATCAACTAATTCTATGTATATGAGTTCAAAAGGATCTGTGCACAGCGACCAAGCCTATGTTCGATTTTCGGATTCCAAAACCAAGGAAAAGGATAGCGAACCCAAAACCGTTGCTAACCTTGGTTCTGCTTTGGACAGGAAAAGGTCATTATCGGAGATATTTCTACGTACGACCAGTGCAAAAGACAGTCTCAAAAGAAAACTGCGGTCGTCATTTTCTTAGAAATACTTCATGGATGGCAAAGAAAAAGTTAACCTTGATTATGCTAGTATGTAACCACGGCGATTATCCTTTCGAAGAGTTGAGGTTTTGCATATTTTATGCTAATGAAAAACAAACAGAAAAGACTGATCGCGGCTACGTACGAGCAAAATATCGAGGCCCCCTTTTGGATCTTTGAGATCTTCCGCAGCAGAATCCATCAACTATGATTCCTCAGTACGTACGGCTAACATTTTATCTTCAGCTAATGTTTGAGTCACCACACTATATTTGTGTGGCAGTTCAGCGAGTTAGAAGGCCCGACATAGCAAATGTGAAAAGTAGACTCCAGTTTGACTTATTTGCTCTGCTTATTCTATTTATCTTTAGGAAAGTGACGTCATTCTTAACTGTAGCTATTGAAAGTCCTTATAAGTATAAAACCAATGAAATGCTTTGCTAGATAGCTCTAAAACACCTTTCAATAGTGTAGGTAGACTATGATGATGACTATGATAAAACCGAAGCTCTGATTGGCTTTCGTTTTCTAGCTAATACGGTTTAATTTAGGGTCGAATAATCATTTAACCCTATTCATACCGTGGGGCTTTTGAGCTGCTATTGTTAAAGATAATTCATGTGTTGGCCAACTTCTTGATTTTATCACACACCTTACTATGTAATTATTTTTTAATTATTTTGCTTAAAGTCTACTTTAAGGGAAATTTGGATTTTATCAATAAATTTAGCAATACGACGTCATAATGACGTCATATTACGTCATTGTTTCAATCGAGTTATACTCAGAAGTTAAAAATTACTAGTACATTTCTTGCGTAATTTAATGGCCGTAGCATGATCAGTTTTGAAGCAAAAAAAAGCCCCGTTAATAACGTAAAGCTAGTCTATTTTATTCAGACTTTCAGCTAATAATTCCGTTGAGTAGTGGCTTTGTACCTATTATGCACCTTATGTTTATTGTGTTATCGTTCCATTAGTTCTATTATTATCATCATTAATATCATTATTATTATTATTTTTATTATTATTATTATTATTTGATTGACCTTTAATACTGGGAAGCGGAAATGGGCAAAGAATAAACAACTTCCATTACGTAGACGAGTATGACAGTTAATGTTAAACAAGTTGTTAACTTCGTTCTATTGCTGACCAACGAACAGTAGATGTTCAACAGAAACTTTCTTTGACAAGGGAAAACATGTCACGGAAAACGTGCTTGTGTAAATATGAAAACCCGTAATAAACCCATTTAACTGACGCACGCTTGATTATGAAACTGTTATTAATGATTAAATTTATAATTTTGGAGAAGGAGAAAGAACAAATACAAATTAGGCAATTGGGCCGGCATCCTATGCAAACATCACATGCAGATAGAAGATGGGTGACATTTTATTAAAATACGTCGTAGACATGTTCATAATTTATTAAACGTTGATAATATCTACCCTTAAGCCGTTAAGCAACCTTGTTCCTACGAGCTGCCGGATGCCGCACATGAGACCGAGAAGGTAAGATTTATAATGAGACATTTTAAAATACGTGCACGAAATTCCCCTAATTAGGTAGGATAAATTTCCAATAGCTTCTTGCAACGTGTCGAGACATCACGTCTTTTAAAAAAAGTCAAAAAGTAAAAATTTAAACTCTTACACTGTTTATGAGCAACAAACCTATAACTGAAAAGCTGGTTAGTGATTAGTGAAACGTCTTACCATTCATACTACATCCTGCTTTTTAAACAAATTTTTCCGAGGTTTTCTTCTCCGTATCACCAGCTTCAATAGAGCAAACAGAGATAAAAAAGGCAGGTCAACATCATCTAGCCACCTGTTCTCGTGGGTCCTCCCCAACCTCCCCCCTCCACCATCCTGGGGCAAACCATTGATAGGTGTGCTAATGCACCTATTAATGGTTTGCCCCAGGATGGGGGGTGAGCTATCCACGGGCATTAGACCCAGTGAAGCGCACGTGGGTAGAGAATTTGACATCCTGAACGTCCCCACGGTCAGGGGCACTCAACAGATCTGTTCCTCAAAATATCTGTTCTTCAACTAAATTTTTGCTGACTGGGAAATGCGGAACTAATAATATGTCCTTAGAAGGAAAGCTTTGCTGAGAAAAATATAGTTCAGGGTGTGTAACGGGATTTGATGAATGGAATAGCGGCTATTGCCTATACATACATACATACACACATACATACATACATACATACATACATACATACATACATGTTTTATTTATTTGGCGTCTTATACAATAAATAGTATAGCAACTATTTCCAAATAACCAAAATTACAAAAAAAAAAAAAAAACAAATTCCTAACCATATATGGCTAATAAGTTTTTAATTAATTAAGTCCTAGAGTATTTACTTTTTGCCGCCTTCCCTCGTTTCCTTTTTTCAAAGCATTCGAATATTTGTTTTCCAGTAGTTTTATTTTGTATTTTAGCATTTCCGCTAGGGGTGTTTATTAGAAACATCAATATTTTGTTAGGTGACATTCTGCTTATTTTTATTCTATATCCTTTTTCCAAACAACGTTGTAACGAACATCTTTTTTCCTATATATGCCTATATGTCATAAACCTCTCCCCCCTCTCTTCCCCACTAAAGGGCTGAGTTTTGCCCTATGACCACAGCCAAACTGGCCAGTAAGTCAGGTTGCAGGTTGTAGGTGCACCTTGCTGGCTGGGAACTCTTCCATCAGTCTTGCTGGGAATGAGGAACAGATAGATTTTCCCCAGCAATCTACCAAAATGCTTAAAATGGTTTCAGAAAGCTTTATTTATGCTTTGTTGTTGTTTTTAGGTCTTTTTCTCAATATTTCCCGTTGGGTGCCCCTCCACGGTGGGAAATTTGACACAGCCGCCATCTTGGAAAGTGGAGGACCAGGGAATGAGTGATATAAGAGGTCCGCCGTCTTAAAAAATACCCAGTAGTCATTTGGATGAGTTTCCCACATTTTGATGTGTTCATTTATGTGTGAAGGATGGCAGAACGAAACTTGATTTTTTAGTCTTTGAAGTTTTATGACAAAAAGTATTCTGTCCCTCAGCATTGAGAAGCAATACTTGCACAAAGTCTCATTTTGAAAATATGCTTTCTACTTACATGTTTCTACCAGATGTTGTCCTGCCTCAAGTTTTTGATGAAACGAAAGATCAAAAAATGATACGTAAAGACACGAATGATTCCTGGAATTCTGTGTTAAATTTGCCAGTATACTTAAAATGTCCAATAAAATGAAATTCTGGACCACAGGTACATAACAACAGTCCTAATATAAGACATTAACCCTTCTTGATGATGGCATGTCATTTTCGGGATGGCATTGCACATTTCGCATTGCTGTGAACACTGTGTGAGACAATTAAACGTAATTTCGGGAGTATGGCATGTGTGTTAAATTGCTAGCTACACTAAATATCCAGCTCGATTATATCTTCTACACTTGCGGAAATGCACAAAGTTTGTGGATACCATTATTTTGTCACCAAGTAGTTATTTCTGTCTGGAGACGCTCAGTGCTGCAATAAAGAGTGTCCTGAGTGCCTATTAGTTTGCCCCAGGGATGGAAATTTGGCTCAAAATGGAGACCCAAGGGTGAGGAAATTGACATTTGAAAACATTACATTCCTAATTACGTGGATTGCGAGCAAGGTTTAAGTAATGTTTAAAACACGTACTGTAAGTGTGTTGAACAGCTTTGTTTCAACATGTATATTCGCTGGGATTACGTACCAAATTCAAACACGAAGAAGAAAACGAAATGTGTTCTGGTAGACTGTTCCATGTCCCCTGTTTTTCCTACAGAACAGCCTTGGATTTTTTTAACACTGGGAGTACTATAAAGCCATCGTGCAATGTTTATTTTACTACGTAGGTATAAAGTTTCTTGCACAAGAAGAATCCGTGCATTGTATGCGTACTGTAGACAATATGCCTACTGAATATTCAAAAGTTTTTGAATTTAAATTAAAGTCATTTTAGCTCTGAAAGGGAGTAAAGATATTTTGGTTCTTTTTTCAGTTAACCCATTTTTATTTTTATTTTAAATTTATTTTTTTGTTTGGAACTAAAGTTTATACTGAATTGTTCGTTATTCTGATGGCTAGACTGTGTTATTCATAAATTCTGAATCCCAGTTTTCATTATTCATCATTTTCTATGTAAACATCATTACTCATTATACCGTCTCCACCACCGGATGAAGGAGAGAATATAAAATGAATGCAAAATACTTAAGAGCACTGACGACCTATCTACTATCTACAATTTTTTTTTTCCAAAGCTGTATTGAGAGAAACTGAGCAATCAGAAATCTATTGGGACATGGGGATTTGCGTTGTTGCCGCGGTGTCGCTTATTTGTTTTGTGCGGCAATGAAGTTAATAAAATCCCATCTTTGCGGCGTGCTGGGTTTCTGATTATTCGGTGAAAAGTAATAACTCGCGGTTTTCGCGGACATCATATGGCCGTCATTACTAAAACGGAGGAACCCAGGCTCCTGATTAGCACCACAATTATTATTATTATTATTATTATTATTATTATTATTATTGCTTATAGCGCGCAAATTAACATTCGAATATGATCAAATGCGCGTTACATCTAAGATACCTAAAAACTATAAACAAAAGCAATAAGAAAACTATATACATCATATAAAAACTAAAAATACATCATAAAAAAAAAAAACTAAATTACACCGTATTAAAAATAAGATAATGAGCAATAAATTAGATAAAATGAACAGAAAGCCATGCGAAACAAAAAAGTCTTAACCTTAGTTTTAAAAGTGTTAAAACATGTCTCGTGTCTGATTTCACGAGGGAGTGAATTAAAAAGCCTGGGGGCTGCCACGGCAAACGCCCTGTCACCTAGCGTTTTCTTCGTTTTACCATTATATGGTTCCAATAGTATCTCATTGTTTCGACGAAGCAAATATTTGCTAGGGCATAAAATGTTAACTAAATTACTAATATAATTA